TCGAGTCCCCCTTCTTAGGAAGAGAAAAGAGACTGGCGACAGCAGAAATACGACCGGATTGCTCAGATATGTTAATACTATCACTTCCTTTCGCGTGTCGGCCATTAGAGCATAGATTAGTCGTCTGAGGTGACAGGAGACGATGACTCAATCGGCCGGTGATAACCGAATGCGGCAATAGCCGAATAGGCGCTCTGCTTTGGGTGCTTCGGAACGTCGTGCATGAACCATGGCAACCCTAACTAGGCAACCCCTTCCAGGACAACATGCCGCAAACAGGTCGATCGTTCTCCAGGCACGAGATGTGAGCGATTCCCCCAGCTGGATCTATTCCGGAATTCATGAAAGCAAAGCTCCATAATAGCTCCTGGCAGTCAGCAAAATCGAGGAAGTACCACAAGGTCAACCGAAAGGTTCACAACTTTAAACGTTTTTTAGTGGGCCTCTTTTCCTTAAAGGAAAGAGACCACTTGTGGTCCCGTCCAGTCCGTCTGTCCGTCTGTCCGTCTGTCCGTCTGTGTGTCACAATTTGGTTTGTCCGATGATAACTAAGAAAATATTGGCCTGACCAATGCGAAAATCGGCAAACAGGTAGATATTAACAAGATTCGGGCTGAGTTCGTTTCGAGACGAATTCGCCCCAAAATTGCCAAAGGCCTAATTTTGGATTTGAAATTTGTTCCCTGGGAGGGGGGGGAGGGGGGGGGGGGGGCTGTCAGTTCTCTACTAGCCTTTGGGGCAGATGGATGGAAGAACGCGGAACCCTCCATCCTCCCATCATCGTTTCGTGGGGGCCGGTGGTAGATTTCCCAGATCTGACTGAAGGATGCGATTTGTTTATGGTCGAAGATCGGAAGGAGTCACCTATTTTTGTCACCTACTTTGTCCAAGTAGGTGACAAAATGAGGGCCTCCTTTCATTTAAGGAGGCCCTCATTTAAGTACATTCTTAAAGTTAAGCAGTGAAGGAAAAATTTCATCTTGGAACTTGAAAAGTGCTTCTATTAAATTTAAATTTCGAGCCTCCATTTCTGCATGTTAAGTGAACAGCCATAAAAACAACAAAGCCGAAGCTTTTGCTTGCTGCATTCATCGCAAAGCATCCCGGACAATTTAATGAAGTATTAATAATTTGAAAACAATTTTTCCAAGGATTTTCCCATTTCTTCTACCCCCCTTAACCCCCTCCCTATCTCTCTGTAGCTCATTAACGTTAGATTAAACTCTGACCCCCCCGGACTGCCTTCGGGTCTAGCCTCGGCCTACCTTTTCTCCGTTCGAAAGGATCTGAATCTTCGACTTCGACCTTCACTCGGATCGCTCTCGGAGTCTGACATCTCGAGAATGCGCCGCGCGCCGAGCCTCCTCCTCCTCCTCCTCCTCTTCCTCCTCCTCGACCCGGTCTGCGACGAAATGCATGTCGGGCGCCGTCCTTCGGGGATGTCCGCGCACCATGTCTCCGCATCCGGCTCAACCCGTGAGCTCTGCGCAAAATTTGTGCAAAAAAGAGCGGAAGATCTAGACGCCGATACGAAGGCGTCGTGAATCGTGAATTTACGACAAATAATTTAATTTTTCATAGCTAAGTGATGCGTCTCAAACAACAAAAAGGGAGACTTTTCTTGGGAACTTCCGACATGAATTCTGTCCTTGCTTCTCCAGGTTTTTTATTTTAATTAATTAATGAGCTAATTTTATCCCTGGCGACCTGCTGCAGAATTTTTCCCATAAAAGGCCTGAAAATGAAGTCTTCAGATGTCCTCATTTCTGTGGTAATTTAATGGCAAAACAGAAAAAAAGGAAATTAATCAAATTCCCAGGATGAAATCCGGCCGATTCCAGAAAGAAAAGGGAATAAAAACGTGGAAGTGCAAACTCGAAACGCATTCTTTCGGATCTTTTTCCTCGCCGGATTGCAATATTCACCCTCGTGATTAACGATCCGGTTTAGCAAGTCGTCCCGGATTTTCGCTCGGGGAACAGGTTTGACTCGTGATTAAAAGCCGTTTAGGACTTCGCTGTCCTCGCAGTACTGCGGTGCTGGTGCACGTGTCGCGATGCATCCTTCACGCCCAAGGCCGTCGGTACCGGTCTGACCGCGTTTTCGACGCGCCGAGGTACCTTCAGTACTTCCCGGGACTTCGTGGAACCTCGCGTCCCGCCGAATCCCCGTGAAATCTGATTGTGGGATTCCGTGCATTCGCCGCGCCGCGATTTTCCGTCATCGGCTCACGACCTGCTCACGACCTGCTCACGATCTCTTCACGATCTGCTCATGATCTGATCATGATCTTCCCACGATCTGTTCATGATCTGCCCATGATCAAGTTGTGGTCATCACTGAGTTTGCAGCTCTTGGATGAAAAAGGCGAAGGTGAAAGGTAGAGGGGAACCGAATGAAGTTTTTTTTGCACGTCCTCAGCTAAAGAAACAAATAATTGTAATATAAATATGTAAAAAAAATAATCATGATTGAGCTGACATGGCGGCTTTGGAACATATCCAGGCGCAGACATACGCAAAGGCACTCATTAAAGTATAATCCTCTCCGTTAGCGATCCTCAAGATCTCCTTGTTCTTATGAGCATTCCAGGTTCATCATTCCTAGTTGCTGCTGCTTAGAGAATCAGAGGCAGAGCGATCCCACAGGGGCAGACGGAGAACACCCGTCACCATCAGTCGCCCGACACCTGGAGTCGCCGATCACCTTCCGCCACCTGCAACCGAAGATGTGCGTGAGCAGACACCACTATGGCCTTCGCACGTTTCCAGAGACAGACAGAGACATAGACGGACTTTTTTTTAAATTAACATTTATAGACATAGTGATGCATCACAAATTTCCTGAGTTGTCAATTCTCAAGATGTCCATGTTCCTATCATTACTTCAGGTTTGTCATTCCACACCAGACGCGCTTTTCACTCCCCGAAAACGAGCGATTCCAATCCGACCGACCGAACACCACAAGTCACCAACTCTCGGCAGTCACCTTCAGTCGCCCGTCACCTTCAGTCGCAACCGAAGGAGAGCGTAAGGGAGTGTCCAGAAGCTGCAGATGCCCCTGTGCAAGAACGGACAGAGGATCGGGAGGGCGTTGCACCGAGTCGCGACATTCGGCAACTTCGTTTGCAACAAATGCAGGAAAAAATGAAAGTGCCAGTAGAGACGGACGAAGAAATCCGGAACCAAACGGATTCACCTAAACGTACGGATTTGACAAGTGCACGTTAAATTTTGAAAGTCATCATCCGTCGAGAAACCGCAGATCCGCAGGGCCGGATTAACGCCGGATTAACTCTTCGGCTATTAAGGCTACAGCCTAAGGCCCTCATATTTTTTAGGCCCTCATATTTTTAGGCCCTACTTTTGGCCCTGCTTCCCGCATTGAAGTAGCAGCTGAGCGACGGTAGCAGGGCCATCGGAATTTTTTTTTGTCTCATTAGATATTTCTTTGATTAGTGCAAAGAGAGATTATTTTCGGAGTATTATCTGGTTATCGAGTATAAAAATTTTGGTCAGTTTTCTAGAAATTAAACCGTCCCAAGCAGCATGTTTACGTAAACAAGATATCAATTTGTTGCAAACAAAAAATGTAAATTTATTGCGATTGCCATGAAAATGACATCACACTTACGTAAATGTACGTTCCTATATTTACGTCACCGAAGTGTAAGTGTATTTTACATAAACTAGACGTCACTCCATCTGACGTGAAGTATATGATATCAAATTTATACAAAGTTTCATATGGAAAGAGTAGGATCCCCGCTCCACAAGTACTATACAGTACTTGCTCCATCCTTCATGGAAGAGAAATCCTCTAAACGTCCACTCCTCTTCCCGAGGTCCTCCTACGGGAGGAGGAACTAGTGAGTCATCTTGGTGCTCTTGCGTGCTGGTGAGGATGAGTACTTGTGCGCTCGTGTACTCGTCCAAGTAACCTTGAGTTCCAAAGTAGGAAAAGGAAAGGGAGGAAGACAGTGTATGAATTCCCTTCAAAAGTAGGAATTGGCTCGTTAAATACGCATGAATGTTAGGAGAAAATTAACATTAATTTTATATCAACGTTTACGTATTCCAGAGGTGACATTTCTGCAAACATGTGGACATTATCTTGATGATGGTTTTCGTAAAATAGATATAAAATGGAAAAAAAATTTACATTCAGTTGACGTAAAATTAACATAAACATGCTGCTTGGGGTACCACGCTTTTTTTTGCAATTCGTAATTCATACTTAGGCCCCTCATAACCTTAATCCGGCCCTGCAGATACGCATATGAGGGCATTGTGCCAAGCCTGGCTTACAATTTGCGAAAAGCTCACATGGTTTTCTCGATCCCGGACGTCCAACACGATCTCGATGGCGAAACTGAAGCGGATCGTGAAAATATTTCAAACATCGACGGTCAAAGGTAATCGAATGGAGTTCTTTTGCACACCCTCAACTAAGGAGAAATCACCTAGCGAAACCAATACGTAGAAATCATGATCGGGCTGACATCGTTGCGGCTTTGGAACATATCCAGGCGCACACATTCGCAAAGACACTCATAAAAAAAAGTCTAAATTCAAACGTGGGCATATCTCGATAATTCTCTGTTGGCAATTCTCAAGATCTCTTTGTTCCTAGGAATATCCCAGGTTCATTATTCCCCGCTCGCAGCCGCCTTGAGAACCAGAGGCCAAACGATCCCCAAAGAAACAAACGGAGAACGCCCGTCACCATCAGACGCCCGTCACCGTCAGTCGCCCGTCACCGTCAGTCGCCCGTCACCGCCAGACGCCCGTCACCGTCAGTCGCCCGTCACAGCCAGACGCCCGTCACCGTCAGTCGCCCGCACCCAAAGGAGAGCGTGAGGGAATGCCCAGAAACTGCGGCGTGGCGCTGCAGATGCTCCCGTGCAAGGCCGGGCACCGGATCGGGAGGGTGTGGCACCGAGTCGCGACTTTCGGCAACATCGTTTGCGACAAATGCTGGAAAATAAAAGTGCCAGGAGAGACGGAGGAAGAGATCCGGGACTAAACGGATTCGAGAAATGCTAGGAATTCATGATAACGTAAGTGAGAAACGTTGTTATGAATCAAATCAAGTTACGTTGTGCGGAAAACGTGAGAGGGATTTCCAAGAGCTGCAAAAAAAATTCAATATTAGCGGAACAATATGCAAAATTGGAAGCAGGCGCAAGAAATGAAATCGCCGGAGAACGCTTGAATCACAGGTGTTTAAAATAGAATAGCAAAAAAGAAGGAAGGAACTTTTCTGCCGTTTCGGAGAAGCAGACCGAGAGAGAAAGGAATCGTGACTCTTGGACGGAAAAGAGGGGGAAATCGTCTGGACAACGTTCGAAAGGGGGCGCAGAATCATCTCCAGATTGTCTGGACTGATTTGCATGAAACATGAGATTTTAAGAAGCGATGGAATTTTTTTTTTAGCGTTCTTCCATGGGACGAGCAGAAATTTGCAAGATTTTGCAGGTGGGATGGCAGCCTCTCGGCCCAGTGTCTCAGCCGAGAGGCGAATGGGCGAGGTAGGAGGTGCGGTGATGACTGCCACCTCCGGGCGATTACGGTGGAGGGTCCAGTGGCGTAATGGATAACGCGTCTGACGTCGGATCAGAAGATTCCAGGTTCGAGTCCTGGCTGGTCTTTTTCTCGCATTTCCCGGGTATGGTTCGAACGAAAGGGATGATAGTAAGGGATGCAGACGAGATTTGCTCGGAAAAATTGTAGCTAGTAAAATTCAAGGTGTAGCTTTTTGTTTTTTAGTCAATTTTCAATTCAAAGTTTTATTATCAAAATCAAAATCCTTACTAAAGGATTTTGATTTTGATAATAAAACTTTTCAGTCGAGTCGGCTCCGAACAAACTACATTTGTTTCGAACTTATATACCAACCAAACCCCTTAGGAACGTTGGCGGAATTGGCAATGAGCGAATGGAGTATCACGAAATGGAAATTCTTCTTTGCCGAAGAAGAGTGCGCAAATTCCATTTCCTTCGTTTCCAAGGAAACACTGGCCGTTCCCAAGGGGAACAGAAGGGCAAGGAAAGGGTCACGTACAGGAACTCCATTTTTTAGGTCGCCCTGTGAAGCTCGAGTTTAGAGCAATCAATTTTTTTTTTCGGGGAAAATTAAATGATGGAGACTGGAGCACTCCTACGGGATGAGCCATAAGTAAACGACTATTTTCATTCTCAGATATAAACAACTTTTGATACTGGATGGGGATTTCTCTTTTCCTAACTTAGTCGGAAGTTTTGTCCATCTTTGAGAGTCCGCTGACATGAGGAATTTCGCAATTCTTTTTTCCAGGTCGAGCGCAATTTCTAACTTTCACGATGACTTGGCAGAAACTGGAAATGTCCTGGATAAATTAAATATCCACGTCGTCCTTGAATGAAAAAAATGGGTGAGAGCAAATATTAAAATTTGTCCATCAGACTGAAATTTCTTGTTTGCCCTCAGTATTGACAAATCTATCAGTAATATATTTAAAAAGACATGATGGGATTGACGGCATAGTTTGGCTTCGGGCAAACGCACACACAGAAAATCGTTTTAAAAAAAAATTTTCCGAAGTGGGACGTTGTCATAAGTCCCAAATTCTCCGGATTGGCAGTTATCAAGATATCCCTGTTCCTATGAGTATTTCAGGTTCGTCGCGGTTTTGTTTTGTCGAGGAAAGGTTGGAATCCATGATATTGTCAGCAGGAGAAGTCGTGATCAGAATTAAAGTTTCGCTTCAGATAAACGAGAGAGAGCTTTCCAATCGCTGGAAAAAAAAATAATGGAAAAAATTGATGAATGCGTGTGAAGACCAAATAGACGGCGAAACCTGCAAGAAATGGGAAATGGACAGGGAGTTTTTAAATGCCATCAAAGCAAGGAAACAAGACGGGAAGGATTCTTCTATTTCATTTAATTTGCTTGGAGATGGATGGGTGTATATGAGGGCAAAACGTTTTAAAAACTTAAAGCTCTCTTCGGGAATTATTCTGATCCGAGCGCAGATATTCCGAAGAAAAAATTAGCATGAAGGGGATTTTATAATTTTTTTTTCGTTTAGATGCTGTTAACAGTGGCGAGAATGGAAACGTTTACGATTCGTTTCCTCGTGATGGGATGGGAATTCCGAGGCTGTTTGCATGGATGGAGCGAAAAGTGACGGGGAGGGAAATGCAGGCGTTTTCGTTACCTGGGTCGGGGATCTGTCGTCGTCTGGGGTTGCATCTTAGGGGGGATGGGCTTGCATTTGGTCTCGNCTGGGTCGGGGATCTGTCGTCGTCTGGGGTTGCATCTTAGGGGGGATGGGCTTGCATTTGGTCTCGGGGAGGGAGGGGGATGGCCTGAGGCTTCTGCGTTTGCACGAAGGGCGGCTGATCGGTGGGACGTGATACGACAGGAACGAAAATGCGAAGAATTCGACATCAATGGATGAAATTTGTATGAAATTTTTAGCAAGGAAATGAGAGGAGGAAGAAATTGGAGGAGTCTTCGTGTTCCAGAGGGGTCGAGTGGCAAAGCCATACCTGCTTATCTCTTCGGGGTGAATGGACCGAGGGGGTGAATAGATCATGAGGTGATTGGACCAATGGTGGAAGGAATAGGCGACCTGAACGCTGAAATCCAGAATGAATCTCAAGTCCACTTCTTCAACGATATGGTCAAAAAGGCCAAATTAAAAACGCCTCAGATATTTGAATTCGATAAGGAAAGTTGTGAATGTATCCTTTCACAGCATGGAAAAAAATCAACTTTGATGAGAAAGTTGATTTTGATGAGGCAGTTCTCAGCCGTGACGTATCCTCACGTGTCACCAGCACCCAATCGCCACGCTATCGCGGATTTTCCCTGCTGCCACCGGAGGCTTTACCAAACGACAAGGACTACAGAACGAAAGGCTTGATCTGCTATTCGTTTTATTCTCTCTCTCACCTCTTGAGTTGATTTTGTCGAAAGCTGCCTGCAGGCCCTCGGCAAAATTGGCATTTCTCCTTCTACAGCTTTGTGTTCTAACGACAGTAGTGTCTGCATCGAGTAAAGACCGACATTCGATTTCCACCATAAGAAGATACACATTTTGACAGAATAAATAGATGCTTCGCATCCAAGAAAACGATGAAGCCTTGAAGATGCGCTTCCATCATTCAGCATTAAATTGAAATCACTGATATGCAAGAAAAAAAAAAGTCGCTTTATTTCACAAGACCCCATCCTGTCATCTAAAACTCCCAATCAACGGCAACGAGAGAAAGCAGATTATAACACTATCATGGGCGTGCGTCGCGTCTCGAAAAGGGATCTGTCGACTGCTTTGAAAAGAAGGTGCGTGAGAATACGATCCTCAATCACGCGATCCATTCATATCTCTTCCGCATGAATTCTGTTAACGAAACGAACCGTATTTACAAAATGATGGATTTCACAGTCTGACACGAATTACTTGTAGATGCAAACCGTCGGTTCCTCTCCGGCTTACTGCTCGCTGACCAGAGCATTGATGACCGCTGTGAGGTCGTTATCGTAGAGTCTAAGTAACTCCTTGTTCCGCTCACGATTGGCAAAGCCCATCTCCACCAGATCCTCCATTGGATCCTTTTTCTGGAAGAGGATGAAGAGTAATAAGTCATTCCCAAAGGGCATTCCCAACAAACGTACTCAAGTTATTTCAGCATCTTTACCCCTCCCGTTCATCCAACCATTTTGCATATACAGGCAAGTAAGTCAAACTCCGTTACGCACGAGGGCGAAAGTTACATACAAACATACACATTCAAACCCACTTATCCCAACTTAATGGGGTCGCGGCGCGAGCAGGACCAGGAGCATCTTCCAGCGTTCGCTATCCTGGGCATAGGACATGAGCTCTACCGGTGGTATACCGAGCCTCTCGTGGCAAAGGTTCGCGATGTAATCCGTTCAACTTGCACACGGCCTACCGACTGGAACGGACGCAGTTTAGACAGACACGGTTTACGGAACAGACGACGGTTTAGCAAGAACCAGAATTCCCGCTTAAGCGCGGGACTTAAACTTCTCCACTCTTCCAGTGGGTCCCCCCTAACGTGTAAGACGTACAGAACTTCCAGAGAGGACCATCACTTGGGTCTTGGCAAAACTCAGTTCCATTCTGGCAGCAGTACATTCCGAGTCGAGCACATCTTGAAGCTCCTATCGAGACCGGGTCGTAAGTAATCATCGGCAAAGAAATGCATATTTAATTCGTTACCACCGATGCTGACACCCTCGAGACCCAGGTTACACCTACGGATCCTATTCAGGTGCACGAGGAAAATGAGAGGACACAACCGTGACAGAGTCCCAAACGTCCCGTTCAGCAGCTCCTGCAATCACTGCACGAGGATTGTACGACCCACAGTTGACTGCTAATCCTATAATTATTCAGCACTCCCCAAGGCTTCCCTCTAAGTACACAGTCGTACGTCTTCTTGAGATCCAGAAAAACATGTGTAAGTCTCCTCGGCATATTCCCAACGTCTCTCGAGAATCTCGTTAAGAGTTAAGAGCTGGTCCGTAGCGCTACGCCTCTCGCGAAATACGCACCGCTCTTGGATGGCATCCTCCACGAAAAGCAGGCGCTCTTTCCTAGCAACTCCACATAGACGTTACCAGGGGTTTATTTCTTTGCTCTCTGCAGCAGCTCTCCGGAAGACTCCGGTGTGCATGCGCACACGTCACGGGAGAGCAGAGAGAAAAAAAAGGATCATACCTGAATACTCTACAAGGGCAACGCCATGATGCTACTCTCCGTTCTCTACCAAGTCCAGGGTTAGAAGAGGCAGCAGTGCTTCTGCGGAGAGGTCTGCTATCAAAATAACGTCTTTATGATTACTTCTGCCTCTCCCGGCAGAGCAAAGAAATACGCCCCAGGTATGCTTTGGAGAGTGATTCCACGGTAATTGGTGCACTCCCTCGAGTCCCCCTTCTTAGGAAGAGAAACCACCAGACTGGCACACCGGTCTGCTTATCCATCCGTCGTCTCCGATTCGCACGTGGTTCAACAGACCTTATCCACCCACGAGAATATTCGCGCAGATAGGCTCCGAGTAGGGTACATTCGAGTCTGCCGTGGGTGAATTTAACCTTATGAATACGAGATGCGCAGTTTACTGCGCATTGGGGGCCATCTATACTTAATAATAGAATATGCCACGGAGCACCATTGGATAGTCCAAATGGAAGTTACCCTTAGGTGAAAGCATGGGCAAGAAATGCTTCACAAAGTACACAGGTCGGCCGAGATCACATGATCGATCGGCAACTGTTGGCACACAGAACCAATTCGACCATCCCTGTGCAAAGTATATAATGTCCTTGTGTCGAAAGGTGTTGGTGATGGTCAGTCCATTGCCAGCATAGAAGCCCAGCAACTTCCTGCCATTCCCATGGAGTGTGGCTTCTCCGAAACGCCCCGTCACCACACTTCAAGCTGCTTCATCGTTCCCGACTCGCTGTTGGAGCCCCTCATCGGCAACACGGGGTCGCCTTCTAGGGCCCCCCCTTTCATCTCTATGGAGAACGCGTCTAGTTCGTTGTTCAGTCGGTAGACTTGAACGGCGGACAAGACTCCGATCCCCCCGAATCCGAGGCATATCAGAGCGACTCGCTGGCCGATCGGTTTCCATTCGACCACTCTGTCTACCAGCCGTGGGCTAATGAGCATCTCAACTCTTGCCCAGGCAATCGCAGATGGATCTACTTCGCCCCGATAGGGGGTCCATCCGCGATCGAGAGCGATGGAACCCCTGCCTTTCTTCTCCGTCGATGCTAGTTCGACTACATCTAGGAAATTATGTCGGAATGAAGGAAATCCATTTTCAAAGGAATCTTGAGCCACGTCAATCCTCTCAGAAAGCATTTGGCATCAGTCAGAGATGATAGAATTGGGAAAGAATAAGAGATATTCGACTGAAGTGAAATTAAAAATAGAGAAAAACAGCCTCACAGATATAATAAATTATTCCCTTGTTCGCTAACAGAACCTCAGCCATTCGGCCTATCGTTAACCAAAGCGACAATCTCAAGAGGAGAGGATAGGGTCAAATACCTGATACTTGGCTCTGAAATCTTGATAGATTCTGTTGGTGGCGTTGTAAGCAGAGGCTGCAGTCTGCAGAGCGGTGTCCATGATTTGCCTCGGATTAGGAAGGATGTCCACAGTGACGGTCCCCTCTACCCGATTGGGCAGCGAGTTCTCTTGGTTACTCTCCTTGCTCGATCCCGTGTTCGGCCCTTCGTCTTGCAGCTCCTGGGCGTGGGACTGTTCCACCCGTTCCACCTGCTCCGCCTGCTCGGCCGCCAGGGCCGTCACAGAGTGAATGATCGCTTCTGTGTCTACCATCGATGTGGACAGTGATGCCTGGTTCGGTGTGTTAGCAGGAGTCACAAACGTTCTTGTGTCACCTACACAAGAAGGAATTCAGATCAAATGCACAAGATAGCAGATACTGTCAAACAGAACACAACCGCAATAGAAGGGGGAGGTGGGGTAGTAGTAACAATGGAGTGATCATTACACTAATTCATTCAACAAGTACAAGGTGTGCACAAAGTCCCTTCAATGACAATTTTAAATAATAGTAAATAACATGAAACAAATAATAATAAATTATTCAAACGTAATTGGGGATCCAAAATATCAGTGTGCAGCCCATCATTGTCACGGCATAACTCGATGTGGTGCCATGTTCTTTCAGCCAGCTTTACCATTTGCCATTTAGTTATTAAAAAAAAAAAAGCTGCTGAGACTGCTGTTTTGAGTTGGTCAACTGTCTGATAACACTGTTTCGACAGATGTCTTTTGATAAACCCCCATAAACTTTTATCACATGATGATCACATACAAAAACAAAAAACCATTGCAATTTTTTGCATATTGAAGGGACATGGTGCCCATCTGTGTAGAAGGGAAACTTTTACTTATTTATTTTTGTTTATAACATGCCACTCTTCAAAGTTTGATAAAATGTATTTTGGGCTTCTCCAGCCTTGACTAAAAATGTAAAATAAATATTAAGAATTCCAATTTTCACCCTTTTGCTGCAATTTCATTTTTGTATTCCAACTAAGCATATTAAGAGCCAGAAAAAGTTCATGTTCGATGCATGATATAAATATTTTAAAGAAAATGAGACAAGGGTCCTTAGTTGTGCCTGCATGGGACCAAGTCTATGAAGAAAGGCATCAATGAGATCAAGGCAATTGCAGAAACTCCAAGAAGAAAGGACCAAAGAAAAATGCCACAAAAGAGGACTCTGACTCCTGGGTATGACAAGGACAAGGCACGTGACACGAGACCCAAAGGCTACTAGCACAACATCATGATGTTGGAGAAGGGGTCAATGAGCCCAGAAGTTATTGGAGTTTTTTTGGCTTTCAGCAATGATCAATGTTTAGTCATCATCTAATCATAATTTCTGTGGATCTCACCTAAGTCTCAGTCATAAGTCTGGCTGAGATCTCTGTCTAAGCTGCTTCAGCTTTATTAGCTCCTTTTCTCTCACTCCCACCCCATTACTTTGTCAGCTTTTCCAAAATTCATCCAGGTAATGTGAGACATTAGAAAAAAGTTGCCCCATTCGTCCCTCATTGTAATCAGAGAGTGCTCATCAATGTTACAATTGTCCCATTCGCCAAAAAAAATGTAAAACAAAACAAAGTTTCAGAATTGGCAATCACTTTGACCTTGCTTCTGATGTAAAATATTGGAGTTTTTGGGATCGCTTTTTCATTGTTTGAAAGAGGTAGGATTCAATTTTTGCTGATTTATCCTTGCTAGCATGATCTCGGTCATGAAGTGCAATTACATGTTTTTCAGATTACTATAGTTCCACTCACTAACCAGTCTAATTTCTGAATGTCCTTCTGTGTATTTTATTATACACAGTATATTATTAGTCTTCCTTTGTGGTAGCAGAAGAGGGCATCAGCAATAATAAAAGATTTCCACAATGGAAGTCAAGTGGCCCCATTGATGATAAAATAATTACTGCTTCTTATACCTACTATACTAAGGTAGAAAATGAAATTAGATGTCATATGATAGACGAACTCAATAAGTTTTTTTTTTTATCATGTTGGGAAACATGTTCAAACTGTTCACCATTCCTTTGGATGATCTCTTTGTAACATACAGCAGTGTTTTCAAGGACATTGTCCTGTGCCATGTGTTTTATGTCTCTGAGTACTGTAACCACAGAAAATTTGAGTCTATGAATGATGCACAGATTTGTGGAGCACACCTTTTCTTTAAGGAAACCCCATAACAAATTAGCAGTACAATATCAGGAGATCTTCCTGGCTTATGAAACTTATCAATGCTATTCTTAATAGTTGGATTTAATGGGGGTTATTTTATCTGGGGGAAAAAAAAAATCAGAATAAATTGTGTAAATCAAGTGGAAATTTATTGAAATGTATTCACCTGCTACTCTGAAGAGAGAATTTAGATTATGGTTTCCTGATAAAACATCCCCATGAAATCCTACAATTAAGAATATTGTTGAAAAGTTTGAAGAGAAAAACATTATGAGCATGAGAGGGGATACCTCATGGCCAGCAGATTCTCCTGATCTTAGACTGCTATATTTTGTTATGGGGCTTCTGTAAAGAAAAAGTGTTCCCCACAAAACCACTTATCATTGATAGAATTAATTTTTCCACAGTTACAGTGCTCAGAGACATAATACACAAGACATTGGACAATGTTATTGAAAACACTGCTGCATGTTGCAAAGAATCCAAAGGAATGGTGAACAGTTTGAACATCATACAACAAGTTAATTTTCATAATAAATAATGAAAGTATAGGTCATGAAATGTGAAACATTTTTTGTTACCACCCTGTATAATTTTCTGGACATTCCATTATCCCACAAAAACCATGAGGGAAGAAGTTAGAATGAATGTTGCCTCTAATTCATTTCTTAATGGTGCCCATAGGGCTCCTATGGGCACCATTAAGATTAATTCCTGTGACTAACCAGAGATAGTTCACAGGAATTATTCTGATGAAAGTGTTGTTCTGAAATTCATGCTCTTGCAAACCACCAAGGAGTTAAAAGCTCTTTCACCATTCCAAAATTTAAAGCAACAAAAAACTGGCATGCGAGTCCTTTCATGGCCAGTCGAGTCTGTCTGTTCCTTAAGTAATGTTTATTGCAGACAGCAAAAGCTGCTTTAGGCCAGCTTCAATTGCTGACATCCAGATGGAATGGCTACATAAATTCATATTCAAGTCCCTAATATCCCAAAATACCAATGGGGACAAGGAGAGGGGCAATTAAAAGAGATTCATAAGAGATGGATTTCTAGTTACCTCTGGAATCACCTCCATAAGTGGGAAGGGGAATCTTTATGGCCTCAGTTTTCAATGGGGCCTCCAACTCTTCTTCACCTACAAAGAGTGAATATGGTGTAAGCAATATCAATACCAGTTCCATGTAAATGTGGCTTACTGCTTCTCCACCAATACAGAATATTATGAGGTGTTATATTTAGTTTTTTGTAACAGTGAGAAAATTTTCAGTAATATAACTAGTTACTTGCATACATCTGGTACACAGTCACTCCCATCCTTTATCCTGACCCATTAATGCCCTGAGGGCAATATTGAACAACCTAGTTTCCTCTGACTATACCAATTATTTCTCACTCATAAATAAGAAACTACTCTGGAGGAGATCCTAAGAAAAGGCACACTCCTGTTGACACTTCATACAAAATTAACTTAGTTAAGAATAAATAAATCAGCAGTTAACAATGCTGAGTGTATGATTCATGATTGAATCATAGCTTCTACCACCATATCCACAATGCTCTTCCTAGAACATTCTGCTTAAAGGAAAATGTGCACTTCTATTGCTGTGAAACTCTACCAATTTGTAAAGCAAAAGCACTGGCTGGGAATTACAGTCAGGTTTGGTGTTTCTTCTTTGCTGTGTGCTTAGTTAACATGAATGTCACAGCCAAAAAAGAGCAATCAAATCTTCACAATTCTTAAATTTACTGATTCTAAATAATCTATTTAGGTGGACAGGAAATAGTGGTATCTGGTACTTGTATCAGTATCTCTGCTAGTGCCAATATTGTAACAGAAATTCTCTAGCTACCCATCCCTAGTCGTCAGTATTTGTAATTACGAACAAATAAATTTTGAGCAAAAATATTTTAGCATGGATACTATCCCATCCTCTAAATCTGTAAAACCAATATGTCATATAGCAGAAAAGAATGTGTCGAGCCACATCATACAGCAAGGGAGAGCACCTTGAAGGGACCAACATGTAGAAATTTCTACATAATAACACCTGAATGGATTTGCAAGACCCACCAAATGCAGTAGCAGTGCTATGGAGACTACTCTCATCACCAAGGGTGAAGCAATCCGGGATCGGGATCACCTCGAAGTCCTCCCCATCCCCCGACCAATTGGAGACCATGTCCTCGACCTCCTCGACGTCCTCGACGATCCCCTTCCCTTCCATGCTCTCAGCCATGGTGAGGGAGTCCTCAATCCAGGCTCGCAATTCCTTCATCTCTTGCTGGACGTCGGCCGGAGGCGGCTTGTGTCCATCGTCCTCCATCGTCTGCCCCTCATTTTCTATTCTGAAGGTAAGAAACAGAGATGTCACTAAAGGCTAACTTGTTTGGGAATCATCTATTTAGATACGGGGCATGTAGATCCCAAAGAAGACCGAGCCAGTTCTCAGAAGGGGAACCTATGAACACCACCACGGGAACCCTACTATGCAATGAAAGTGCCATCGGAAGGACAAAAGACATGAGACGTAAAGGCTGCTGAACCCTTTCAACTGCCTTCTCTGATCTGCCACTTCTACTCTGCCCTGTGACTTTTCATTATCATAAGTTTTTCCTCTTTGGCGTACTACACTCGTGCAATATCACGCACCTCATGCTTGATCGTATGCCCACCCCCTTTGAAACCCAGAAAAATATAATGTAATGATTCATGAATAGAAAACAGAACCAAAATCCCAAGAGGCCCAGTCACGAGAACAACCACGTCATGCTACGAACAAAAAGCATGGCAGGGCATAAATACCTGGACCCTGACGTGGAGTGTGGACCAGATGCATGGATACTGGAGAGCTCCGACCTGATCGCCTCTCTTATCTCCTCTCGTACCTCTCCCTTCATCTGCGATTCAAAACAAAAGATATGACACTCTCGCTTCGCGTCGCGTCACGTGTATTCACATCATGTGCAGGGTTCACGTTAACTCGCTATAGCGAGTCCCTGACTCATATTTTCTTGGAGGGACTCAAATTTGCAAAACATCCAAGTCCGTGGGATTCATTGACAACCCACCCGAACCTGTTCTCACTGAGCTGAAGCTAGGCGCCAGGACTCAAGATTTAAAAAAGTCAGTGTGAACCCTGATGTGTATGTCACATCTCCGCTTTGAGACTCACGAATCTCATCAATCCCTCCCTGAAACCCAGATCGTTTTGAATTATTCACTGATGGGCTAAACCTTTGCCATGCATTTTGCCCTTCATAAAAAAACTCTCTCTCCTGTATACATGGGAAGAAGGAAAATAAATTATTTACTGCTAATTTTTTTTCTCTCCTTCACATGGCTACTTCCCATGGATTTGGGCCGAGTAGATAAAAGATTTGGACCTGATAGATAAGTACACCACTCCAATGTAAACTGAGACTGACTTCAGCGATAGAAACCCACCTAGGAAAAACAGGCAAATGGGGGTCATTGCGTATTTTTCACATCATAAGCTTCCACTACTGGGGATGCAACGCTACCCAAGAATTGAGAAAGTACAATAAACTCTACCCTAGAATGCACTAAACTTTCTTCTCCAAGATACTTCACACTTTCGAACGAGGTGATTTGACAACTCTACGGACATAGGACATCATATTACAGCACTGGTGCTCAAATTGTCAAAGCGTTTGATGGTTCCCCCCATGGTCTCCCCAAACGGAGAAACCCACAAAGAAGTCAGTGAGCGATGACCACATTCTACAATGACTTCTTCTACCACAGACTCTGCTTATGGTTTAATTGCTTATAGAAGATAAGAGTCTATATTGAAAGTATCTTCAGGGTTTGATGATGACAGCATAATTCATTTTTCAGATTTAATGTCATAATCTAAGTTTGTTACAATTTGATGTATAGCATCTGTGTATGTGATTATTGCACGTAACCTACTAGTAAATCTACTGGTAAACTACCACCTTTCTTTTCTCATGAGTTGCTAAAACAAAAAAAAACCTTGATTCATCAGCATCTAATTGTCCATTGAAACGAAAGACCCAAACTTCGGCGTATACATGTCATAAGGTCATTCACACCGAACGAACAAGAACAGCCACGAAGCCAGAGAACCAATCCGAACGTACCCGTTCGATGAGGCCGGTGACCAGCTCCTCGGTGAACTGCTTGTATCCGGTGATGACCGCCGAGAAGCCCTCCTCCGTCTGCTTCAGCTTCTCCTCCACCTGCGAGAGCCGCTTCTCCAGGGTCCCGCACCGGGCGCACCCGCCCTCCGTCCCTTCCCTCGGCGGGTCCAGACTCCTCTTCTCCGTTTTCTCTCCTCCCTTGGCCTCCATGTATTCCCGCCCGGCCTGGGTCGATCCCAGCGCGCGAAGCAAGACCTGGGAATCGTCGACGCGTTTTGCGTTTGGCTTCGGCGTTACGCGCACTTGAAGCATCGACCGGACCTTCTGGAACTTCTCATCCACCTGGAAACCGAGGTGATGGTGGTTATTTCAAATTAGCATACACGGACTAGTAGGATCATACTAATATATTGGTTTTAAAATATATATTCCAATTTTTAAAAACGCTAAGACTGTCAAATGCCAATCGATTAAGAAATTATTATCGAGTAGTTATAAGTACCGAACCGATTAATCTCCTTTCGAACCTCTCTGAATTTCGCGAAAGATAGATAATAATAATTATTATTTAAAAAAAACGTTTCCCGTTAATTCCGAGCGTTCTGAACGTCGGCTCGACTCAAGATGTCAATAAGGGCAGGAATGGCTCAAGCCTTCAACCCTGAGCATGATTGGGAAGCGGATGTTTACGCAAATCCATACTCTTCCTGCGGCGTAATAAGTGCATACGACCGAGCACGAATTCAATCCTAAAGAAAGCAACTGATAGTTTTTTTTTTAATGCATACTTAGGCGTTTTTGCATAATTGTACATTTATATGTACAGGGTGCGCGAGTAGAATTGGCGCGGAAAATACATTAAGGAAAAACATCTCTAAAATGTCTAATTTCAAACATTTATTGAATATTCCAGAAACAAGAGCAAGGTAGTACTTTATAGATGGAACTTATTCAATAAAGCCACCTTCAGCATCAATCACAGCCTCCAGACGACCTCGGAAGCGAGAACAGGCGCGTTTTACAATCTTTTTTACAATCTCAGGAGACAAATCTTGAAATGCCTGGCAGATTCTCTCCCTCAGCTCAGCTTTATTGTTACAGGCAGTCTTATTAGTGATCCTTTCAACCGCGCCCCACACATAATAGTCAAGAGGACTGCAGTCTGATGAGTTTGGAGGCCACATATCAGGGGTAACATGGTCAAAAAAATTATCCTCGAGCCACTTCTGAGTTTTCCTGGCCGTGTGTGCTGTCGCAGAATCTGGATTTTACCTGTTGAAACTCGCGCCAATTCTACTCGCGCACCCTGTATATTCACACATATTTCGCTCATTTTTGATTGAAATTTCTGAGGATTGACGCCAAGGGCTGCTGATTTCTACGAAGAAACCCCATCCCCTCGATTTCTAATAAAAAGTCGGGAAAAGCTGTCTGTAATCCTCCGATCCAAAATAATTAAATCTGGCCATGTAGTGCATAACTTTGCATGTCTTTACATTTTTATGCCAATTTGCCACGTCCCCTTCACATTTATGCGCATATTCCAGCCCTTATTAACGCATAATCCGCTCCAAAGTCGTGACGGGGAAAGCCTTCGGTGACAGCCTCAACGGTAAAATTTGGGTGGGAGTTTTCATTTTCGTATCACTTTCACTTCTTTTTCTCCCGTCTTTTGAGAAGGGCTCGCTCTAATCACAGCATGTTTATTCATATATACTTCATTTTTATTTTTACTCAATTTACAATCTCTCGACTCGGGTACGTCATAAACTTGGCAAACGTTTCGTGCTTCGTTTCCTTTGTGTTTATTCACACCAACGAGAACCGAAGTGGAGCAATTTCTTTACCGCAAATAGACTTCATTGCTTCCAATAGGGCCAGGCACAAAGAACGGAACCGGATCCAAGCGGCCCATGGGCCCAGGCACAATGAAGGGAACCGGATCCGAACGGAGCCGGAGAGCCACAGGCACGAGTCGGCCCAGGAAAGAACGCATTTGTATGGCATACGAAACACCAGATAAGACCTAGCGCTCTGGGCTCGCACATCGAAGCTCGCTTTCTTGCCCTTCCGTGCGATTTTTCACGGTGCGTGCCGAAAGGATGCCTGATGAAACCAGACGGCAACGGACTCTCCCTTCGCCCAATCGGGTCCATGGCCGAAGATCCTTCATTCGGATCCGCCCGATCCTACGAATACGCTGAAGCCGCACTGGACAGCAGCAACCGCTCAGAAATTACGCTTTCCAGATCTCGAACCTTTCCTTTCCCCCGTCCAACTAACGCTCTCCACAAATGTAGCCTTATTAAGGCGGTGCCGATCATCAATTTTTAAACCGTTCTAATGATTACTTGCTTCCTTTTTTTTTACCCGAATTTTTCGATATATCGTTTAATCGTTTCCATGTGAACTAAGGAGATCATGGAGAGATTCCCAGACCAAAACTCCCTAATATTTTAAAATACACATTTATACCAATGATTCCCTAGTGCCTCTGGGGGACCAGGCCCCATCAGGGGCAATGGTCTAAAATATTCAACAGGTTTGCTGAATTCAGGCGTGGCGGAGTATCGCCCAAAGATGAGGATCGATCAGGGAGACCTACGACTGCAGTGACCCCAGAAACGACGACCAAGGTAAAGAGTTTGGTGATTCCCACGCGCACACGCTAAACCCTGAACACGACTTGGCCAATCGATTGATACCACAATTTAGGAATGTTATCGATCCTTATAAGAGGTGAGGACAGCTGGGATTCATGATGGCCATGAACCATGAAATTCTCATGTCACACTTAAGTATCCTGCATAGGTGCTCTCACATCATGCAAAAATGCGTTCTTCTACCAGATGCATTCAAGATGTAACGATCGGTATGTTTTGTGCCGGCACACTACTTCAGCTTTGTGAGAGAAACAATGCTGAGTAGTTTAGTAGTGATGATTCTTTGACTCCTATGATAAATTTTAGACCTGTGTAATTGTTTAAATATTTTAAAGAACAGCTGAGTGATCAACTGATGAAATATGTCCATTCAGTAAAACAACCTGAACGTAGGACATGTAAACAATAAATTACATTACAGCTGAAACTTAACATGGGGATAGAAGAAACATAGCTATTAAAGCATTCATCATCACAATAAAATGCAGCAATGGTCGCTACATTTTGAACACACCTCATACCATCAAGACATCAGAGACTCTTCACCATAAATTGTGTTACCATGATCCTCTCGACAGAAACCTCTCTTGCCACCTTTTGATTCCTTTCAGACAAGTCTCACCAGTCAATTTACCTCTCCAATGGGCAATTTAGCAACTAAATGTCCACTATGAGCAGTGCCTACGTATCAGTGGGTATTCTTCCCTCTCTGATACTATGATCATCTCATTTGTTTTGCCTTCCTCTCTATCTTGCAGATCTATTCTGCTCCTTTCTGCACTCTAAGCAGGGCTGCCACATGCCCAATGCGATACTTTCTTCCTACATGCTGTGAATGCAATTAAGGCCTATCTCTGTTACTTGTATATATTCTGAGCTTCTGAAATCTAGGTATTCTTTGACCACCCTTAAAATCACCCATTCCTTTGCCATTACTTACTAGAAACAAATGTCAGAAATGATTATATTCAAAGATGGGAGAAGCATCTCTGCTTTACAAACAACATGTAAGATTCAAAGAAACATACCCTTTTCATCTCCTCAAACTCATCCTCTGTATTCACCATTATCTGCAACAAAATAAAGATAATCTTTTCAGGAATCAGCAGCATTTATTGGTGGCTCTGTGATTGGCATCAATGTCAGAAAAGAAATTATTACTTACTGCATTTCTGGGCCAACTTCCACACATAATTAGGAGCTTAAGAACTTCAGAAAGAAAGCTTTTTATTGTTCAACTCCATTGCATTCCATGTTAATAAGCTTTTGTTAATAAGCTTACAGTAAGTTTCTTGGGCCCACATATAACTGAAAGACCCTGTCATACGAGTGCCACCTGAGAAAACTTACTTCGTCTCCCTCTTCATCAATATAGCTAATCTGAAGAGACTGGGAGTCATCCCACTTTGGCTCTGGAGCATCAAGGGCACCCATGATCGTGATGAAGGACTTGATGCCCTCGATGGCTTCCCTTGCGGTCGGATCACCGTCTGACTCCACCAAGAGTTTGCACTGGGAGGAAGAAAGACAAGTTGCATGTCAAGATGGGACTCTTGGGAGTGAAATCCTAGGCTAGGCCTACAGCTGTTCGATGGCATGCTTAACAATATGCATGCCAAACTTAATATGGGCTTAACTCATACCTAGGCTTTTAGGCCTAGAAACGTACATGATGTCTTAATGTGTCCTGGAATTCCTTGAACGTCGGCAACATCTTCATTGTGAAACAAGTGTGCTTATCATGGTTGGGACGAATGAATCTCACGAAAATCCTGGGCGGAAGTCTGATGTGCCTCTCCTTCTCCGCCTGTTGCCTGGCACACCCAGCCTGGTTGCTGACGGCAAGCTTCTGCATGGGGCCAGTTTGAGGTCTGAACGAACTTCTCTCTGCGGGAATGGGCACTGGCAGGCCTAGGCCTGAGGAACCCATCTTGAGTTAAAGTCGCTATGTCGTGAATCTGCAGGGAATAGATGTTCAGTCACCGTGAGCTAGGCAAAGCCTAGCATTCAATATAGAAGATCCTCCTTATCTTGTGACAATGAGTCACCAGTCGATTTCTACCATAGGCTAGGCTAAGAGGGCGACAAATAGACTAGCAGACCATGCCAACTCGTAGCTTATCATGAGGAAACTGCGCGCTTTTGAACAGGTATTGTTTATCATGAGCCTCAGAGAAGCTAGAGCGGTCACCACGTCCCATAGGGATCCGCACAGAGGATTGTGCAATCCAATGTTTTGACGCGTGTGCGCATGCCCAGACTTTCTGCGACATAGGGATAAATCGAGCCCGACTGGGGCAGCCCGTATCAGCAGCTCCACCCGCGGAACCTGCCATGTCGAGTTCGAGACCTGTGCGGGCCGGCCCGCGGGATGCATGGGAGCAGTTATGGGTAATGTGCGGGTTGGCCCGCGGAACCCATGGGAGAAATTCCGAGAACTGTGCGGGTCGGCCCCCGTGGTGCTCTCCGGTGACGCAGCACGTTGTTGTCGGTCGATGGTATGTCACGTGGGAAACTATCATCTGGCTTACTGTCTTTTTTAAAATGTAATATCACGCTTGTTTGACGTAATATTGGTCGTATTTTGCCTGTGAAAGCCCGTCCTTGTTTGCGTTCTCCTTAATGACGACACAGTATTCCAGAGTGCTCCATTACGAAGTTTCTACGATGGGACGAAAAACATTCCCAAGTATCAGGGCCGGATTAAGAAGGGGGGGGGGGGGGGGGGAGGGGGGGGGGGGCAAAGTGGGCTGTTGCCCTGATCCCACTCTTCCAGGGGGACCCCTCCGAAGGAAATTAACATTAAATATTTACGTTAAATAGTAGCGTGAGGGGGAGTAGTCTCAAGAATCCACCATCCTCGGACCTCGTAACTTCTTAATCCGGCCCTGCCTAGTATACATCCTTAGTCGACTTTATGGTTCGTTCTTCTCCGCTTCCAGGTGGGACTGGACCTCGTGGAGTCAGTTTTCACCTGTGGCTTCTCAAGCATCGATATTCCAGTCGGGTGAAACCGGAAATGAAAAAGCAGGGAAAAAAAAAAGAGCTTGTGCATGCCATTCGGAGCTTCGCTCATCCCGCACGATATGTCTCTCGTGGCTGGACGAGGACCTCGTCCGCGTTCCATCGGTCGTCGATGGGAGAAGCGAATCCACTGTTAAGTCTGCTCCTGTCGGAGCTTCTCTGAATGGGAAGGCGAGGCCGAGGAAGTCTCGAGCGGATCGGTAATCGGCGAGGGCAGGAGCCGATTCGACGAGGGGTTCCAGTCACTCGTGCCTAGCGATGGCAGTGCCATTTATTCCAGAGCCGGTAATAGACAGGACAGACAAGAAAAAATTGGAGGCGTGCGCCCGATTTCATTTGCTCTTCCCTTTCGGTCGGGAAGCGAGGCCCCGTCTGATTCGATGAGACGAGCGGAAATGACAGCGAGGCGGGCGGCTGGCCGAAAGGTCTGTCGGGCTTCTCTCTGCTGGACCCCCAGAAGCAGGGTAAGGAAGCAAACCCAAACAAACCATCCCCGAACGCCAACACCTTCTCAGCCTGTTTGGATTATGGCGGGGAAAAGAGCTGGACCGGCGAAGTTTAATCAACAGCTCAGCTGCTTTCCCTCGATTTCTTTCGATTCTGAAAGGAGACTCTGTGCTGGGCTTTCCTTCACCCAGGCTGCATCGTTATTTCGACTTGGCGAGTCTCATCACGACGGTTCCACGTTGAATGGAGCCAAATGAAGGAATCCGGTCGCTCAGCCGTTCTGCCGAGCCAAGAACATCGTCGTTTTGCATCGAAGCCGGGATCGAGGGAATCCTGGATGTCCAGCCGGATGGGCTATGATCGACTCTCATTCTTTTTTTTTTCTGGCTTTGTCGCGGCTCAAGCTCGAGTCTACTGCCCAAGCTTCGATTTTTCTGAACGTTCAGCAGGTTTCAATCAATTGTCTCTCACTGCCTTAAAACTTAAATGAATAATTAAAAAAATATATAAATCCATTCAAGCCGTTTTCAGAAGCCATCGAGAGGCATATACTTCATCTTCACCATTACGAAGCCAAAGCACTCACGAGCTGGCCTCTAAGGGAGGGAGCTCCAAATACCACAGGGACATCTGGCGGCCCTTGCTGCAAACACTTCTTGGCAGTGAACTCGGGATTCTGCTCATTCGAAGATTCCACCGAGCGAGTCCATCACAGGCGCCTCGTCGTCTGCTCCTTGCCCGCTGAGGAGTCTCGACATCCGTCCGCCAGGTAGAGGCACTGAGCAAAGTGGGTAGAGGGCCGACAGCGACATCTGCACTTCGACCCATCAACGAAGGCACTCTTGCCTCGCCTCCTCCAGCGACAGTCTCGGCTCGGCTCCCAAGCGGGTAAGTCGACTCTTGCGTTCCGCGCGCGATCGGGGAGGGATTTCGCCGGTCCTTCTCGGCACACGCGAGAAGTCATTACGGTGCTGCTCGTTTTTCAAATCAGTTCTCGATGATCTTAATTGCATATGTCGTAAGATTTACCCAGCTATCCACTCGTACTTACTTATATTAACCTATTTGTACTTCGATTATATCACAAGCTTTTACGGTTTTTGCATGAATGATTGATGTAATGGAGAACATCGGATTTTGATTCTGAGCAGTGGGAATCGCGGCAGACCAAAGAAATAAACTTTTTGCGTCATGGCTATTGGGGTTCGATCGGCGATATGGATAAAAATGTGGCCCGGCATTAGATGGACATATTTACTCGTTCTTACCACGTTCATATCGCCCACAATGAGGGAGCATGGCCGAGCGTCGATCCAATCAATTCTTCGCGTTGAAATTTTCTTGAGGACTTGCTTCCGTTTCCCCCATCGCATCAGTGGTCTCAAGAGCCGGGAAGTTGTAGTCGTTCCAAAAGGCAGACATGAAATTGCAGGACGTCGTTTGCACTACCGCAGTTACAGTCGACGGTGTTCATCGACGACGTCATCATTGACGTCACTGTCTCTGCTGCCGTGCAACGCTTTGCACGATCGACAAAGGGTGGAATGGAGAGAGCGGGGCTTTCTCAACCTTAAATTTATGTTTAGGGTTTCGGCTGTCTTTTTATGGCTATGTAGGGCATGTGTGGTTTGGATTCCGAGACGAGTAGCAGGAATGAGGACCTTGAGACTCGAAGGGAGACCAGAAAGTTCGATTCGGGCAGAGTCCTTCGCGGGTGGCTGAGGCACTCACTTCGCTGCGGGATTCAACGGAAGGAGAACGGAACCGCGGAGGGCTCTCCATAACTGGATATCGAAGCGGCGCATGTTTGGCATCCATTCCGCTCTCCTCTGCCAGCGAACTGTGATGGGGGCAGGGGGAGGGCAGGACATCTGGCATCCGTGGTGAGACCCACGTGCGTCACGTTCCTCCTTGTGCGTGGCCGTCAGTCGGTTCTCCTCGGTGCTGCAGTGACCGTCTCCTTCGCTGTGTCGCGCGGGGTTTCGTCTCGGTCGGTCGGCCTTCGCGGGGTTTCCACCGTCGCATGGGCACTGGGTGGCTCCGGGCTTGATTCGCGTCGTGTGCGGTACGTTTCTGTGTGGCGTGGGTGGGACTGGGCGCGGGAGCTCAGCAACAGTGGTCGCGTCCATATTATGCGCCTTTTCCTTCGTTTGTGGGAGGGGTGGGGTGGGGTGGGGTGGGACAGTGCCCCCCCCCCCCCCCCCCCCCCCCCGCCTAAGTGAGTGCCTCAGCCACCCGCGAAGGACTCTGCCCGAATCGAACTTTCTGGTCTCCCTTCGAGTTAGTGTAGGCCTATAGTTTTACAACGGCTATTGGAAAATTACTACTGTGTTGCAGCACACAGGGCGTCAGAAAACCTTTCCCCCCCCCCCCCAGCCATTGGACCAGGACACGTACAACTAAGAGGATAGTTCCTCTGAATTCCTTGTTTATCAAAAGATTCAAGTCTCTAACTTCAGATATCTAAGTGCTATGGCTGGAAAGTTCGGTGATTGTAAAGCGACCCGACCACGAGGTAGAATTCGCGCCTTCGCAGAATCAGTGCCGAATTTCGTCCCGACGAATGAATCATTTTTAGAATAATCCAAATGATTAATTCCTTCTCGAAAGTGTTAAAACACCGATTTAAAAAAAAAAAATAAAACGCTTTCCTCCATTGTGCCCCCTTGTTCATAAACCACGAACACGACGAAAAATTCCATTTCGCCCTGCACCGTGTTTATTCGAGGCTGAGAAGCTCCAATCGCGTAAAATCATTAAGAGGAATCGATTTTCGGCCCATCGAGATTTTTTGCAGCGTCGCGCAGAAACCTCAAGGCACCAAATTAGCAAACCCGAAAATTTGCACCTACAATGTTAAACGTGCAAAAAAAAAAAAAGAAAGATGCCACCTCGCACCCCGTTTGCTCAATATCCAAAAAATATATATATTTCTGGAACCCGAGCCCATGCAAGATGTGCCGTGGATCCCAAAGGTCATATAATTCTGATGAGTTCGTGCCTTGCCCGCTATCTTCCGTCGGAATCCAAAATCATTTATTTATTTCCTTTTTTATTCCTGGAAACGGAATGTGCCTAAATCATTCAGTTTTGCGGCTGCATATCCGTTCTTCCTCTTTTAAATTCCCTTCCCTAAACTTTTTTTTTCAAATTTATTTTACCAGTCTTAATATTTTAAATGCATTTTATATTTTTTTATATTATACAATTTTATCTTATAAATAATTAAATTAATTATTGTCGTGCGCCCAGGTGTTGAGGCGGGATGGAGGCGAAGATCGAGACGCAGCGCGACAACATCGCGACGGAGCCATCGCCGAAAGACGCGGCGATCGACTTCGTCGCCGGCTCGCTCGGCGGGATCGTCGCCGTCTACGTGGGCCAGCCGCTGGACACGGTCAAGGTCAAGATGCAGGCGTTCCCGTCGATCAACACGGGGATGACGAGCACGTTCGCGGCGACGCTGCGGAAGGACGGCGTGAGCCGCGGGCTGTACGCGGGGACGGTCCCGGCGCTCGCGGCGAACGTGGCGGAGAACTCGGTACTGTTCGCGGCGTACGGCCTGTGCCAGAAGGGGGTGGCGGCGGTCACGGGGCGAGAGGACGTGCTCCAGCTCAATCCGGTCGAGAACGCGGTGGCCGGCTTCTGTGCCGCCTTCTTCTCGTCCTTCACCCTCTGCCCGACCGAGCTGGTGAAGTGCCGCCTTCAGGCCATGAGGGAACTCCAGTCCTCCTCGTCCGCCTCCAAGGTCGGTCCCACGTTTTGAACATTTTTTCAATTACATTTTTTTTCATATTAATTTTACTATTATGTTTCCTTTTTTTTTGACGTGACGGCTCAATTCCGGCAGACTCTGAATGCGTCACTGCTAACCCGTGTATATAATTTTTTACGTTTATTAATTTCTTTTTTTAACCCCGGGCATGTATGTGTAGTTTTTTTTTTTTACCTGTTGCCGAGAGATAGCTCACGCTGACACCATTATGACTATACATAATTTCTCTGCTCTAATGATAAACAATTGCAATGACGTCCTAGACTTTATGTTCATTCTTTAGAGGGTAAAGGAGCGTCTAGACGGAATTTTCACCTCAAGGATTAGAGTCTTCATCGGGTAAAAATTTGTTCTGGCCACCTTTAGGCAATTCAGGTGGCCATCAACCGATGGAAGCAATTTTTTTTGTTGCAGGTTTTACAATTTCACCGTGTCGCCGTGAAAGCAGGCTTCGTCGATCTCGAGCATTTTGCAAGCCGTGAAATCCGTTTCCCGGCGTCGACTCGAGACGGAATCGCTTCGATTGCCACTCGAGACGATTCTCATTTCGCGGGCGAAATTGGAAATCGAAGAGCTTGGATCCAGCTCCAAGTGCATTTCAGCGGGCGTTTTAAGAGGAGGCAGATTGGCGATGGGACAGAGGCTGTAACGACGGAGAAGATGCCTGCCAATTTTTTTTTTTGCGGAGGGCGATGCCAAAACCGAGGAAGCATGGCTTGATCCATTGAATACGAATGGAAATTCCTCCTCGATTCACGACGAGGCGTAACGCAAAAAAGTAATTCTGTTATACGTTCCTTGTGCCAATCTCAAATTGGCACAAGAATTGGGAATGCCACGCTCTCGGAGTGTCATGAGCTCTGCAAGGATATTGGGGGAAAAATAGCATCCTTTAGGTTAGGACACCTTTTTCCTTCCATTCCTTCGCGTTAAAAAAAAAAGAAATTTCGCCCCTACAGCGGAAAATTAGGAATTTTTCGGAAAAATGAATCAGCACAAAAAAAGTTCTAAAAATTAATAGAATAATAATTTTTTTTTCCCCTACTTTCGCCAGCCTCTACTTGAGAATTCTCTGTCGTGCAGGATTATCATCGGATTATCTGATCTGCTCCATCAGCCGGCGGGATTTATTTGCTTCCCGTCGTCACGCGACGCTACCGAACGCTTTAAATCATTTTTTTCTTTGCTGACATCAGTTATCAGTAAGCACGTCAGTGTGTCTGTAAGTTGTGTAAAAAATCTTGGTTTTTCTCAGCGCTTTCGTGACCCGATGTTTATCTAAGACTTTGAGGAGTGAAACCTTAGATTTGTTCCATGAGTCTCCGGTCATCTGTCGTTCTATGCGTAGTCGATAAAAAGTACACAGGAGATAAATGAGGATTTTCGGCGAGTGTTGGTCGTGTTTCGCCCAGCAATAGAAGTACCGTGGGGGGGGGGGGGGGGGGGGGGGGGGGGGNGGGGGGGGGGGGGGGGGGGGGGGGGGGGGGGGGGGGGGGGGGGGGGGGGGGTAGTAGTACTGAAAATGAATTAGGATTCAAGGAATTCCTTTGCGAAGTGCGAGTCGTTTTTTCTCCCGGCAGGGACACCTGACGCCATGGGCCCTGAGCAAGCAGATCTACCGGACGGAGGGGATTCCGGGGTTCTTCCGGGGGCTCACGTCCACGATGACGCGGGAGATGCCGGGGTACTTCTTCTTCTTCGGGGGGTACGAGGCGACGAGGATCCTGCTCACGCCGGAGGGAAAGACGAAGGAGGAGATCGGGGTGGGGAGGACGGTGGTGGCGGGGGGCGTGGGGGGGTGCACGCTCTGGGCGGTCATCTTCCCGTCGGATGTGGTCAAGTCGAGGATCCAGGTGCAGGGGTCGAGGGAGTCGATGAGGAGTGTGTTTCGGGGGATCGTGAAGAGTGAGGGGGTGATGGCGCTGTATAATGGGTTGTTGCCGACGCTGGTGAGGACCTTTCCGGCGACGGGGGCGCTGTTCTTGGCGTACGAGTACTCGAGGAAGTACATGCATTATCTTGTGGGGTGAAGCTTGGTTTTGTGTGGTAGTCGGTGGTACTTGCGGGTGTTGCGTGGACTAAGGCCGGGTGATACGCGACTTCATTTTTTTTCTTGCATGGAATTCAGGCGGTGAATTCGGCATGAGATGCGTTTTGGAAACTGCAAGTGTTGCAACTCGGATGGTTGAGTGGAGATCAGCTCTGGGAAAAAAGCTGTACAAAATCGGTTCCTCAATGAACAAATGCAGAGTTCGAAGCTCTCCAAGAATTTCTTCTTAATCAGAATTAAACTCTTGAGATGTTTCACTTGAGTATGTCGCAACCATGTGAAAAAACGGCAGACTTCATGATGATTGGGTCTCAACAATCATTTTGGATTCCGTCAAACTAAGCGAGGTTCCCCTATCTCGCCAAGTGTCGACTCCCAGTTCACTGATTGTTCATCTCGAATCCTCAACTCCCCAAATTTTATTTTTCGGACTTGAACTTACCAAATATTCAACTTGCCGACTTTGAGAGATTTAATCAAAATTGTGATATTCGCTGAGTTCACGGGTGTCGAATCTCTTTAAGTACTTGGCAAGAGTTTCACATAATTATTACTAATGAGTGATGTGAGAGAGCATAAGGTGACAAGAATCATAAAAAAAAAAAACTTTCTGGTAGAAAATTTACTTTTTTTTTCAATTCACCGTCCATCACAAATACACTTAAAAAAAATCATAATTATGTGCAATACTAGTCAAGTCCTTGCAAAATTCGATACCTCTGAACCCAGCAAAATTCTTACATCTCACCAAGCAACTGATGGAATTAATTGAATAGTCATTCGACAAATTGAACATTCAGTGAAACGTCACTCTGCAAGTTAAGCAGTCACCATTTGTGAGAAGCACTTGCCCATTACTTGGGACCATCATCAGTACTTCAGCCAAGAGCAGTAGATACTGCATTGGAATCCCTGATTTAGCTGTGTTTCAGACAGAATGGAATTGCAGCAGCACTGCTTTAGAACAACAGATGAGGTTCTGGTTATGGCATAAGGGTATTGAATAAGAACAGCAAGAAACATCTTGGCATGTACAGTATACAGTATGAGTCATTCCTCTTTTATGTGTTGTTAATTTTAAAATAAATCTTGGCAGGTTTGTGACAATGCAGGTTGGGCTAAAACAAGAAGTGAAATAAAGAGTTCTTTGTGAACATACCCCATGCTACTAAAAATGAAGAAAATTATTCTCATGCAGTGGGGAGGGGAGAATCAATGGGTGTATAATATACGCATAGAGAATTCACAAAGTCAAATTTTACCAACCTTGGAGGGAGGATATCCCCAAATGAATTAAGGAATCTCGAGCGCTTCACATAATCTGGAAGTAAATGTAAAAGTGTTGAATTGCTCCATGTCCTAAAGCAAAAAACACCATTAGGTGAAGCCTTTATGCCTCACCTAATAGTGCTTTTTGCACCAAGGGTGCTTTCCACCCTTTTCCCAGAATAACTGCAGGGACTACAACAAGATGGATATTTTTCGCAGTCTTTTTTATTATCGCATGAGGATCAGTAACTTGATGATGGGCATCACACATTGAGATGCTCAAGCACTCACTTCAAGCCAGTGTGCAACAGATCCACTCAAGGATAAGTGAAGAAAACCTATTCATGTTTTCCAAGGAAAGAAAAAAAACAAAGGAAACCCATCTGTGACCCTTGAACCAGAAACGAGTCTCCACTGAGATTAAATGAATCTAAGTGGTTTCTTAGAAGTAGGCTTAAAGTCCAGAGAACAAAAAAAACAGGAATCTAGGCATAATTCCAAAGCAAATGGTTTAAATCTGAGTCAACAGTCAATACCATAGCAGTGATAAATATACTCTTACTAGCTTACCATGGAGCTAGAGAAGAAATACCAGGATGTGGCATGTTATTTCAAGTGCTAGCAATAATTAGAAGCTAGTTCTATGGGCTAGTGGTGGCTTGGTCTTTTAAACTTCCATAGGATAGCCTCATCCTATTTTTCTCTAGTATTTGCCAAATTTCAACAACATACACTGCCCAATAACAGTTCGTCTTAAGACAATTTTTGTCAAAAAAGAAAACTGACCACTGAGTTACATGCACACCTGAAGTGGTGTTTCTATCAATAGGAAACATTAATGCTAGGCTCAACCTAAGCCTATTCCTAACATTGCCTTAAAAAACTCAAGATATAACTTGCAATGGCAAAGCAGAGTCAACCTAGAATGGTCTATCTTAAAAAGATTAGAAATGAGAATACAATCAATTGAAAGTCTGCAAGACAGAGCCATCATGATCCCAGTTCTCACACCAATCTCTTCTTAGTTCATACAAATCTGGAGACTGCCCTTTCCTTGCCTGGGATAGTGAATTTTCCTTGTTTCTCAAACTGCCCAAAATTTTAAATCCCCCCAAGAGACAATGGATCTCCAATGTTAAGCACCCATACAAGGCTTATAACAGTAAAATAAGCTCAGGCTAAGACCACAAACACGAGATCATGCGAGAGTAATATCAGCAGGCAAGGTTTTACAGGATTTTACAGTCTGGATTTTTTTGTTCTTGCAATATTCAGTGGAGACCCCTCTTTGGAGAGTCACACCTGGCCTCGATATGGAGGAAAAAAAAAGCATATTTGATGAACCAATGTTGAGTAGTCAGAGTTTGATCTCAACAAAAAGAGTTTGACCTACATAGAACCTGACTTTGAGATCCTCCAGGTTACAATTCAATAGCATGAAGCATCATGGCATGACAGATACATGAGTCACTCTTCTCCTACATGCTATAACCACCATCCAAAGAAATCTTACACCTTGGTGACAGTGTGCAACACAGAACAGCAAACAAAAGAGTTAAAGGACCAGGGTTCTCTTGGAGGAATTTCCAAGCCAACAGTAACAGTGGGAAAAAGGACAAATTAAGTCTTCTTGGCGGTGCAGTAGTGGAGGTAGTGTAGGGCAGCTTTGGCGGCCTGTTCTTTGGCCTCAGTGGTATCAGTCCCCGTCCCCATGGAGACCATCAACGGGAGGACTCCGATCTCCAGGACGCATTGGAACCTGTCGTCAATTGTGCACTCATCCAAGATGATATACTTTACCTCGAAGCCGCTCTTAATGGCAAGCTCGTGGAGAAATGACACATAATTCTGTGCAACCAGGGTTGACGGCATCGGGACGCTCCGGAGAAATGTTGTCACATGGTTTGCACTCTCAGGGGTCAGAGTTGGAATCTTGGCCAGTTTTAGGGTCTGGTTTGGAGAAAGAAAGGAAACTACAATCTCACTTGTGCTGGCATTTGCATTCAGGGACAAGCCATGTAAACTACGCATCATCTTGGAATGCATAGATAAAGAAGGTACAATGAATAGAATATGAGTGAGGGTTGAAATGATCATAATGAATGAAATACATTAATGCTATTGCTGAAGTGTATCTCATGATGTGCCTCCTATGTGGTGTACATTCTTTTCACGTAAGATCTACCAAAGTCATGGTACTCTTTTTGTGCAAGAGAGCCATTCACTTATCTTGTGAATCTAAAATAACCCAATACACAAAACATGAATCTGTAAAGACATGTCTCACTAATGGCTGAAGCAGAAGACACAAACCTGGAAGCTGTCAGTCAGGTGGTTGACCCCAACAGTGGCCGAGTCAGTAGCAGTAGAGATGGGAGATTGAACATTAGACGGATGCTCCTCTTTCAAGATTCCCAGCTTTTCAACATCCATTCCTGTGTCCTTGAGGACCATGAGCATCTGGTGGGCTGCTCGGCGCTTTGCTAGTTTCTTTGATGTCCCTATTCCTACAAGAGAGAAAAATGACAGCATTAACTGGAGTGCACAGAAAGACCAGCTCCTCCACTCACCAACATGGCAAGAAGAGAAACTACATAGCTGTTTGCATAATACTAGATCAAGTTTAAGAAAACTGGAAATTGGTTTGAACTTGGACTAGAGTGGATACACTGATGATAAACATGATCATGTGCAAATTCAAACAGATGAAACAAGATCCTCTTTCTTGAACCACATAAGACCTCTGGGGTCACAATGTTTGCTCCATTTTCTGTATTCATGGGCCCTGAGCTCTGTAGGCAACTTCAGTTTCTCTGGATTGTTACATATATTGTAGTGGTTCCACCATTCTAAACTGGTTGGCAGGAGGTACAGAGTTGCAGAAAGCTGCAATCTTCCATCACAATAGGGCACAGAGTGATGGAACCCAAGTAAGAAAGGGAGGCCCAGTATTAAAAACCACCTCATGATCCATTAGTCTGAAAGGAACCAGCTAAAACCCAAATCACCAGCAAGCTGCTCTGCAGATCATTCCACTGAGGTATGATAGTGTGATGGAACTAGTAGGTCTAAATGAGTGATGCACAGAATGCAGCTTCATCTCATTCCAGCAAGATAGTCTCAAAGAAACAGAGCCAAAATCTCATAACCAAATGGATGTGGCAGCTACAACCTTTGGTAGCATGTGTAAAAACACAAGTCAACATCTCAATTTGGCTTTTTAAATGATAGTGCATCACTGGTCTACATATTTGAATATACATAAGACCAATAAGCTCAATAATCAACAGCAAAATTGCTTATGGTGGGTTCACTCCAGCAGTAACAGAGAAAAATTGAAGCAATTGAATGAGGAGATAGGTTCAGATCAATTAGAGAAGCAGGATGGAGTCAGTGATACAGGAATGAGTTCATGGTTAAGATTGGTTCTGACACGGCCATAGAGAGGCTTGCACCTCCTCTCCAGCACAAGGTGTATGCAGGCAATATTGCCAGTATCAGCTGTATGAATTTCCCAATCCATCACTGACATGAGGAAAAAAAAAAGGGTTTTGCCTGGATGAGATGAAGGATAGGAATTCATTATATTCAAGTTGCAGAGTATCCAAGGAATGTGAAAACTATCAGCCTATCAATTCTGAAGATCTACAGTTTTTACATATTCCCATATGAAGCCCCATTCCTTCTTTGAGTGAATTACAGTCAACTCCCCCTTGATCTGAACTTAGGCAGGAGACTCCATCCAGATAAACAATCAGATTAATGAAAACCAAACTGAATGATTGCCTAGTTTTATTCACTTCTCCTGAAGGAAGAGCAACCCTGTGTACTGCATTAAGTCTTAATATTATTCCTTTCTTTCACATGCCAAGGAATCCATTCAAGACTACACTGTTCACAATTAAAAAATCCCTGATTTGTTTTCTTTCTAATTTTTCCACTTCTGCCTCCCATAAAAAAAAGTCTGAAATACATTCTGTAATGATAGCTAGGGGGCAAATTACTTCCTTCACATCTGTAGTATTGAGGCAAGACTATTTTTTCAATGTCAAAGGCTCTGTAATATTCCTTAACATTGGCTTGCTCATCCTAACTCATATGAGATGGAAACCACACATGGCAAATTGAAAAGGATGGACATAATTGGGGGGAGGGGGATTTCAAAGACAGCAGTAGAACAAATGGCAGTTATCAACAAAAGTAACAGGCATTGAGGATATCCAAGGACAAAATGTCATATTCTGCCTCTCTGATACCAGGAAACATAAGAGATATGAAAGAGACAGATCTATTGTTCCAAGAGTGAGTAGAGGAGTGAAGAGGGGAGAGAACCGAAGCACCTTTTTTCCTGCAGGAAAAAACATAAGAGGGGGGAATCATATCTCAGTGGCTTTCACACTTTGCCTCTTAGCCTTTGAAGTCCATATTAACTAGGTGAGGAAGGCCCAGAGGACAGAAGAATCAGTGTTGTCTCTAGTTTTGTGCAGTATACTTTCTCATTTCAAGAACTCTTACAAGAGGTCACGTGGAGACAGGCTTGGAGTGGTCCATGTGCAATTCTGAATTCTGCACTCTAGTCCACTTGACTTCTTGTGAGGGGCACATAGAGGAGATACTGCACTGATTAGAACCATGACAGAAACAGTCACTGATATCTAAGGACCACCCAAGATGTGCTCACTCCCATTCAGCATACTGTCCAAAGGGCTGCAGATTCAGTGCCAAATCCAATACAAAAGTATATTGACTGCTGTGGTAGCCATTTTGAATATTCCATTCCCAAGTGAAGTGAAACTAGTTTCCTAAAATAATCTTCAAAACTAAGTTCAGACAAATGTAACCTTGGTGAAGCAGATGTTTTCTTTACATGAAAGTTGTGTACAAGCTTTTGTACTAGTACAAGCTTCACCCTGTATTTAGTCATAGTAGGGTACTGGATTATTAATGTTGAATAAAAGAAAGATGATTAATATTTTTTAGTCAAAAAATTAGAGCAGAACAAACCTGTGCAAACACATTAAGATGGAAGGCAGCCATAACTTCAGAGTCAAATGCATATTCTGTGGAAGGATTTCACTGCAATTACTGGTCTAGCCCAGAGGACAATTAGACTGACAAGGTTCCCCATTCATTATAAGTTCCTCCACACAACAGAGAAATAAGATTCAAATACATTTCTGGAAAAAAATCCAGCAAAAATGGTCACCCCCACTTTAAATGAAACTCTTTTCCCTTTCCTAGAGCTTAGAGCCAAGCATTAAAAAGCCTCCTCTTGGCCATCCCCTAGGCAACAAAGCTGCAATGGAGGAAAACAGAGTCTTTTCAGCTTCTACATTCTCCCAGGATTATCAAAACAAGCAGCTCCAAATCTGATAGATTTGGAGCTACATGTTTTGTTCCCCTCCCATCCTGTCACCATGGAATCAAAGTAAGAAGCTAAATAAATAGTTCAAAGACAAGACTTGCCTATTTCCTTGTGACTTCCAATAACGCAAGCAACAGTGAACTGCTTGTTGTGGGGCTGACCCTGCTCTGCAATGGTATCATAACGTGGAGGGGGCCAATGATGCCCCATGCATAATTCCTGCAGCGACCCAATCGGGTTGCCTGGAACATCCTCGTCCACGTGGGTCCCTAGGTCCGTCCTGGATAAATGGGATACATAAGACATTAAATGCTATGGGGCACAAAGAAACTTACAAGGATCATCTGAACTTCATGAAGACCTAAATAGCAGCTAAAAATAAGCAATGCATATCAATAATGGGGAAAAAGGAATTCTAATTCCTAGATCTCTGATTATAGGCCTATGCATGTATGTAGTAAACTGCCAATTTGAGTACATTCACAAAATAATAAAACAAGGTAAAAAAACAAAACAAAACAGACAGTTCAGATGAGAATGATAAATTCGTTCTAGAACAGCAGTCATTAAAGTAAGGTGACTAGATGTCCAGCTTTTCCAAATTGCCAGGATGAATATTTTGGTATTTTCTTTAAAAAAATCTGGTCACCTTACATTAAAGGAGAGTATCTGATGACACTCTAGTGGTGTGTTAGGGGTAGAGTACTTGATGTGGAAACCAAGTGGCAGCACCATGCCTAGCGCTAGCCGGAAGACACAGGTGGTCAGAAGTGAAGTTCACTGCAACTGGTGCGTTCAAAGAAACACAGCTTGCTGTGATTCAGTTTTGCGTGTTGAGGCACTACTCCTGCTAACATTTTCAGTTGAATGTCTGCAGCTGGGCAATTCACACAAGCGTGCTTGAGATAAACAATTGTGGACACTGCAGGTATTCGACGAAAATTTTCACCCCACCAAACTACCACATCAACTAAGAACCTACTATAGCAATAACACACAGGTAAAGTGCCACACACTTGCCTTAAATGACTGCTTTCCTAAAACGAATTTTCAGTTTTCATTTCAACTACCTAATATAAAAGAAGTGAAAGAGAATACTAAGTATGACGTGTTGGTTGATTTGAGTGCTATCACAAAATAATTTTTAAAAAATGATGTAAATAGAAGATAATACACTGCATTCGGAATGAACCTCCCTCCCTGATAGGAGCGCTTCCTTTGATTGCAGGAAGCGATAACTCTCACAAAAAGAGTGCTTTTCCGGATTATCTGATGAAGCAGATCCCTTGGAAGTTAGTGCTTTTCTCCATTCTCCACTACTGGGAGGAGGGGCAGGAATTCCATTAAAAATCAGCGTAATTTATGGCATGTTAAGGTATAAGATAGTATATGTGAAAGGTGCGTGAAGGATTCTGATAGCTTTGCATCAAACGGCACACTCCGTGTCGCTTGCTGAATACTATGCCTGTGTAATGTGAAGTGCAGAGCTGAAGATGGTATGTGTGAATCGGCCTCTGTTCATTGACACTTTGCATCACACACATTTTGATGTAGAAAAACGCATGATGATAAGATAAGAAGATGGTAGTTTTTAGTAGATATATATGGACAGAGCATTGTCACTGATGGAGCTAAAGGCAAAATAAACCATGTATTAAATACAAAGTATAGGAAGTTTTGTACTCGAATTCCAATTCAGATCATAGCAGAGAAACAATTCTTCATGGCTAACAAACATTTGAAAGTAGGGGCCAGAATGACATTGATGATGAGTGAGATGGACAAGGAAATGGTTCAATAACATGTCTAAATCACAGACCGGAATCCAATACACATTCAGGGTTCATGTTAACTTGCTATAATGAGTCCCTGACTCATATCTGCAAAACATCTAAGTCTGTGGGACTCATTGACAACCACCTGAACATGTTCCCCCTGAACTGAAGCTAGGTGCCAGGACTCAAGATTTAAAAAAAGCTAGTATGAACCCTGACATTCAATGTGTTAAGTCTGCTAGCTTGAAGGTGGTCGATAATTCATCATGAATCATTAGGCATTAGATTAGGCAAATTTATTCTGGGAGAAATGTTAGTCATGGTAATTGATAACTTCAATGTCCAAGTTGCAGCAGTGATCCAGTGCTGAAGTGCCTGGGTTGAAAATGCAATAAGATACTGAAATTGAGTGCGCATTATGTAACACATGTTCCAGTCATTTTAAGTAGATTTCGTGTAACATCGTCAAAACTATAATTTTCAAGGATATTAAAAAAAAGGGGGGGGGGCTTTCTTTGGGTCACCCTGTATATTTATGAGATACAGTGAAAACCTGATAACTCAAAAAGCTGCTGTAGTCAGCCAATATAAATTATGCAATCATCACATCACTGGATACCATCTTTAAATACTTATATTTTATAACTATTTTGTGAATTAGCAGTCAAATTGGAAGTTTACTACTATGCTACCAGCCTATTTTCCAACATCTAAGCGAGAAAGAAAAATATTAGCAACAATTGAGGAAACTTAAGAGAACTTCCATTCAATACCTTTTCATCAATAGCCATTGTTGCTCTGACATACTTCACAGTGTAAAAAGCAAAATCAGGAGTGGAATGCAAGAAATCAATTGGGCATGCAGGAACAGGAGGCAGAGCAGGAACTCTAAAAATAATCGTGCAGAACGGACCAAGAGAAGAGGGGCAGAGGAGAATGTTTCCTTGAGGTCCTGCTGAGCCATAGGGATTTCATTCACAATTGATAAGATACGGTACCGTCCAATCAGGGACTATACTTGTGCTATGTGCTGATAAAGCTCTTTCCTGCTTCGAATGAGTCACCTGGTCCCAGAATTTACTTGTCACAGGGAAGAAAATACATTCAAATTCTGCCTCAATTCATGGAAATTAGAAGCCATTCCTTGCAGTGCTCAGTCAAGAAAATCTGGCCCCAAAAGTGAGTGAGTGTTCACAGGGTGGATCAAAAAGATCACTGGGGCATTATTACCAAAGCTTTCTAGAGACCAGATGATCCTTAAGCCATACGACAATGGGTAGATCAACATGATTCAGCAGGTCTACTGTGCAATGTGATTTTTGAGATATTCACCCTTGCAATACAGCATTACTTGGCACCATCACATCCCATTAGACATTCAGCCTAGGTTGAAAATTGTCTCAATAGCATTAAAGTAACTCTCAAGAATGTTCATCAGATGAGAATTATTTAGGTCTACTCACAGAAAGGTTATCCAAGGGGGATGAAATGAGGGGGTGGTTCGGCCTTAGTAGGGGTGCAATGGCAGGTTCTTCAAGTGCAGAGACAGGCAATATTATTCATGCAGGAACATCAGTTGAGGCTTGACAAAGACTAGAAACAGCATCCTTATTGTTTATTCATGCAGGCAGAGATTAATCAGAAAATTATGAGCATAATTTAGCACAATGGGTGCATTCAACTCCAGCATGCACAACTTTGTAAGAGCTCATGTTAGACATGTGACATCTGAGAGTTCCATAAGCTGAATCCTGCAGTTTGTCAGAGCAACCTCCTCTCATCTCTGTGGATCCTATTCACTGGGTGTATTAAATTGGAGACCTCTGGTAGCAGGAAACAAAATCAAAGCTGGGGGGAGTCAAGTATAAAAGCTTTGTGTTTCTTATGAAAGTATGCAGATAGAGCCTTTTTATATTATGAAAATGCTTCTCTTTCTCTGCCAGAGGGAATTCCTCAGGTCAAGAATAATTATTTAATAGGCAATTGATGGTCTGAAGTTTCTATTTGGAGTATCCAAGCAGCCTGAAAGGCCTATTATGATGTTTCTTTCAGCCTAGGCCTTCACTTTCCAAGGGCCTATGAAAATTAACTTGGTATTTGCTGTCAATATTTGCTCAGCCAACATTAACCCTTGAAAAGCTTCATCATGAGGTACTAATTGGAAAGGGTTTCTGTCATGGATTTAGCCATGAAGCACACCTGATAATTAAAAAAACTGGCAACACTTGAGCGAATATGGAAGCAATGGGAGTCAAAACTTCATCAAGTATCAAGCAGTTTCCTGTAGTGAATTTTATAAGAAACTGGAAAATATTAGTATGACCCCACTCATATCAGGCATATGTACATCACTGAGACCAATGATTCCATGGAAATCCTTGCATTGGCGAGTGGCATTGAGGAAAACCTGGGACTCCTTACAAGGTGAAGTTTTATTAAGCTTTGAACTTGGTTTTTACTCACCCCTGATCCTTGTCACATTTATAACATGTTTTACTTTGGTGAGAAGCTCCCTTAATCATTGTTGTGTCTCTCAAGTTTTGAGAAGAAATTGAGTGAGAGGAGCCCCACATGAAGAAGGATCATGTAATTCTGTGAAGACAAAACTTGTCCCATTCTTCTCCTTATGCAAGGCCATGGGCAATGCCAAACTTAAAATGTGGCATCTATTATTATTGCACCTAATGAATGAGTATGAGTATGAACGAATATGGTGAGTGAATCCTTGATGAAAAATGAAAGGTTATCAAGTCCAAGACTTCATCACTTGAATGGTTTGAGTCAATCAGTGAGCATTTATCTGAGTGAATTGGATCAATTATTTTCTGCTCTTGGATCTAACCATGAGTTAAATACACCCAGTGTTGTTAGAATAATCGTAATCTACATTAATAACAGAGGCTGTGCAAAAAACTTGAACAAAGAGATAGTTCCTGACGTACGCATTCAGAGCCCTAGTGACCTCCTCATCACTTCCCAAGAGATTAACCAGCATGGCTCTTGCAGCTTGATGCTTGGCCTTCTTCATGGATGTCCCCTCTCCTATTTCTAAGGGTGAATCACATCAAAACTGATATTATGGGAAGAATGAAGAAAACCAAATAAGAGCATCCTGGAGAACTCACCCACATAGTCCTTCACAGTCAATTGAAACTTGTAGACAGGCTCATGAACAGCACCCAAGATGTCCAACATTTCGTAATTTGGTACCCAGTTTTCTCTGGAACAAACCTCATGGAGGAGGGACACTGGTGTCTTTGGAGGGCAGAGTCCCTGAATAATGGGAAGGAATAATTCATACTTAAGGCCTGAGGCTCACCAAACCAATGTGATTCAAGAGTGATGACATTAGACTCTTGCCCAACACAAGTCTTTTTACCTAAACAATTTGTGCATGATAATAAACCCCAGAGAAAAAAATGGAATGGAGAATCATTGTCATGTCATAGACCATATATGCTGGTTTTAAAAAGAATGATAACACAGTTCATCTGATAACATTCAATAATTTGTTCCCTTTTTGCTACAATTGGCAATGGCACCAGCTGACATGTGGAACTGCCAGTCCAATAGTCAAATACTACCATCAGTAGGGCCAAAATTAGACAAATAAAAGGATCACAGCACTCTTACTATGGTTCCATTGTTTTTTTTTGTTGTTGTTGTAAATTTCACATACCATAAGCCTTTAAATCTCATCAATGTCATCAAAATGCTTAGTAGAAGCAAATTACGGCTATATCTTAACCATTAACATTCAGTTCAACGTTTCAATCAATACTCTTACATGCTCCTCAAATCATTAAACTTGATTAGCCAAAATTTCTTGGCACGGCTTGTTTTCAACTAGATGCATACTAGACTCAGTTCATCTGGGGCAATCACTGATGTATAATAATTCTATTACTATAGTAATTAATATTTATGTAACCAGCAGACAGCTTTATATTACCCTGCTGAGTATTTTTCTTTAAAAATTATTTGTATATATATTAAAAACAGAAGTGGTCTCAGAATTATAACAAATTCATTATCAGTTCCACTCTTTTTCAGCTGAAGGAAGAGCTAATCTCATAGATTACAGGATTTTAATGAGGTCAACATCAACTTCAGTGTTTTATTGCATTCTATTAGTAACTAGTTTCTTTCCTCATGAAAATGTATTATTACATTAGCTTCATGATTAATTTCCTCATACCACCTATTTGCTAATATTTGCAAGTCTACTTATATCATACACTCTGAAATTAAAGTATTGATAGGTTCCACCCTTTCTGGCATTTGGCTGAAAATACTTTGATGTTTGTGATTAGATTTTGAAAAGAAATAGATTGGAAATGGTCAAAATTCTTGTCACCTGTTCTTCCATACATGATGTGAACATCTTCACATCTCTGATGTCAAGAAAGACATCCCTACTGAGAAAGCCCAGCAAACTTGACTGCTGGACACAAAGGCGAGCATTCATCGACATGATGGATAAGAAACGCACCCCTTCCTTGTGAGGCTTTATCTGCTTTCGAGCTGCTCCTCCTCCTTTTCCTCCTCCCCTCTTTCCGAAGAGCTGTCCACGACCGGCACCAGTGCTGATCTCGGGAAGGGCACCCTGCCGTGGTGGGAACGAAATTGGAAAGGGACCTGTTTCGTTGCCAACCCCTGTATGCCCCGACATGTGATGGCCTTGCACCAGGTGACCATTCAATGGAGAAGAATACATCTCTGTTGCCATCAAAAACAACAATGCCTTTTGATGGTTTTGGTCAAGCCGCTGGAATTCTAGGGTCGTCAACCAACCAGGGATCCCTTTCGTCCCCTCACACTATGGGATTTTTTATAACCTTATATAGAAAATAATGAATGTCATAATCAGTTCCGAATAAATATAAGTAGGCTTTAGCTAAGCCTTTTGGAAAGTTAGACGCTCCAATAGGCCTCTACCTATAATATATCCTACATGAAGCAATAAATGGAACCACGTTCAGGAGCCTTTCGCTATCGAATCTTGGCTTCCAAGCCAGCTTGGCATAAGTTTATTTAAGGAATAAATTGGTCATTGTGACATCTAGCAATTTGGTTAGTCAAGATGATAAGACCAACCGTTCTCTCTTCTGACGGTGGAAATCACTCTTGCAGTGTTTTTCAAATGAGTCCGACGACCACTTGACGCCGGTACCCACATAGGAAACAGGTCGAATCGCAATTCCTGAAAATGTGTCGGACTCAAATGAAATGACTGAATCAGCTCCTTTTTTCTCATGCCTACGCCAACTTAAAAAGTGGCTGGCCCTAAGCAAGTCCGCCTGTGCCTACGTTTACGCGAAACCGATCACAGAAATGGGCCTATGGTTCCTTTTTTGTTTCATGGTTTCAACGCCGAGTGCAGGCTAAGTGCTTTCAACAAACAAGGTCGGATCATCCTCGAAGAAAAAAAGAAGATACTGCGCGAACACATTCCTCTGTCGGCCAAGGCATATCAGTATACGAAAATCCATCCCTCCTCCATCACAACTTCGGCACTGACACCCCTCACGCCTGCGAACGACAGCGCCATGTTCTCAAAATGATGGGCCACGTGACCTTTGACGTCATCGCCGGTCCTCCCAGCTGGTTTGGCGGGAACAGGAGTCGCAACTGCGCCTCGCGTCGTGTAAATTCCCATGGGATCCTGTTTCGCATAAACTCCTGCGAATTCCTTGACAGGATTCCAGATGAGCTTGCCAACCCAAACGTTGAGCACTTTCCAAAAAGGACCGGATTGAAACGGGACAAAGTCTCCACGGCTGTGAGATTAAATGTTCGAGCGTAAAATTTTTTAAACTTATGTCTGACTTGAAGATTTTTTTCCCATTGCATATTTCCCTCTCCTCTTATCGTCACTCTTATTTTTTTTGTAAATGTGTGAAACTCGGCGAACGATCTGACCAACGAGGAGCGAAAAGGGGGGGGGGGGGGAACTTTCCCTTCTTAATTTTTAGGGAAACACCTCTAATGTGGAGAGTGAAATGGCTGAGGTACCTACAACAGTTCTTCCTTCTTTTAAAATTCATACATAACTGCTAAATGGCAGAGCTGTAGCGATCCGTGTAGGCCTTTTCTAGGTTACATTAGTCGGTCGGTTGCAAGTAGGACATATCGCGTTATTCTTCCGTTGTATGCGGCGCTGATGAGACCCCAGTTGGAATATTGCATCCAGTTTTGGAGGCCTACAAATAAGGGAGATTTGTTGGTGCTCGAGGGAGTACAGAAGAGGGCCACAAGAATGATTAAGGAGGTCAGGGGACTATCATACGAGAAGCGTTTAGAAGTGTTGAGACTGTACTCGCTCGAACGAAGGTTAAGGAGGGGCGATCTCATCCAGGCTTTCAAGATAATTAAAGGAATAGATAATGTCGAGTGTGGTAGATTTTTCCAGTTTGATGGCAGCAAGAGAACGAGAGGTAACCAACTTAAGTTGCGCAAACCGCAGGTGCGGCTCAGGTCGAGATAGGAATTTTTTACTTGCAGAGTGGTGAACGCGTGGAATGCGTTAATGACGAAGTAGTGGCTGCCCCGCGCTGTGACTATCTTTAAGAAGAAACTAGATGCTTTCATGGACAGGCAAAAAGGTGGGGGGCAATGCTGACCGTAGGTACTAGACAGTAAGCAACTAGGATAGACAAATAACAAACAAAAAAAAAACAAAACAAAACAAAACAAAAATACAAAAATATTTAGCTTTAAGAGGGTTAGGCCTGCCCTAAAATTAAGGAACGCTCGACCTTGACACGTGATATCGAAATGGGCGAAATCGCCTCTTGATATCACTATCCTGAATCCTGAATCCTGAGGCCAGGAATTCATAGTCTGGCGTCTCGAGTCGGAAAAAAAGGCAGATAATGTTAGTTGAGAATTTCTATAAGAGTTGGGAACGCGGACGACACCTCCTTCCCTCACCGAGTGAAACCCCTGAATGGACCGGAAGCCTCCACTCCTCCTGAGCGGGCTCGGCGAGTGTGACGTCACGAAGCCGTCCCCCCGACTCTCTCCGCTTTGCAGTAGCGACCGAAGGCCTCATACCAGGAAGACTGGGCACTCTGCGGTGGTGCCATTGATGTTGGGGAAACCTGCCCTGGTGTTTGGCCCTGGAACTACGCAGAACCGACCCATGGGATTACTGGATTGGAATGAGGTGTGAAAAATGGTGGCTTCTGGGTCATAACTGCGCCCACGCACCATTCCAAGAGGAATTCGGCTGAATGGATGGTGATGTTCCGTTGCATCGGTTTCCCAAGGATCCGAAAAGGTACGGGCCTGTGTTCACTAGGGTATTGCACTAGGCCTATGGTCGCAGCTTCACATATGTGTAACAGGCGGATGAAATAAAATCCTGGGTAACCCTAATGATCCAAAACGAAAAGGTCAACATTTATGAGTCTCGGATTGACAGGCCCGTTTAACTGACTCGGCGCAGGGAGATGTCCGCCACAATTCAGTGCCGAGGGCCATTCCCTACCTCCTCGGCTGCCGACTCGTGTCCCTGCTAGCCTAACTTCGCCCAGCGATAACCGGCAGTGGGACTGGATTAAAGAGTACTTCCCCATACCAGCTAAAAATAGCCCATCACGTTCTCAAATTTGGAGAAATGCCTTGTCGGGAGAAAAATTGCCTGACTGGAGTGAAAAACGTTAACAAGTCCTTCGGGGACCTGACTTCAGACCACGTGCACGCTCGCGAGAGCCAGTGAATTGAGGTTTTTTCGTAACCAATACAATGTTTTCCAAATGACTACGTACCACTACGGATCACTTGGACCCCAAGTGCCTATTTCAATCATGGGAAATATCCCCTCACCTCCCAGAATGCGCCATAGAAATAGCCTCAGACCTAGGCGCGAATTCATTTAAAATACCCTAGGACACTCCTCCACGAAGCGTGGACGTTAGTTCTCGGGCCAACCACCAGGCGTATGGACCGCCATTGCGGTAACCCTGCATTAGCGCAGAGTGCCCAGTCTTATTATGAGGTTTTTGGTTGCGTCTTCGCAGTCGCGACCAGCGCGGAGGGCGGAAAGGCTCCGGGATCGAGGCGCAGTCGACGAAAGGGCGTTCGACTGGGGTCCTATCCGAAGCAGGCGCTCCCATTCTCAACCTTGGGCCGCTGCTTGAGACCATATTTCACCAGATTTGAGCGGATACGGTCAGCCTATGCATCTGCTTTTCTTATTACTGAAGTCTGTAACGATTCTTTCCACGTCGTATGTCATCGTTGACTTTGAGTGAGTCCAAATATGGTTTCAGAGTTAGGTTTTACACAAAATTCATACCTTAACACCGATCTCGAATTCAATCTCGTGTTAGTGCGACACCAGGATTTTCCAGCGTTTCGCGTTTGTGTAACATAACGCCATGACGAATTTGCTCCAGCTGTTGGACGCAGTCTGTGACAACGAAGGTTTTGTCCTGCATGTGCTCCAGAAACTAAGTCCAGGTTCTGTTATGAGGGCCGGCCTTAGGCATGTGCCAGATGTGCCCTCGCACAGGGCGCAAATTCACCAGGGGGCGCCGAAACGCGTCAAAATTAATGAAGCAATAATGGATACCACCCTCGGTTTCACTTGAGAAAGTGGAAATGCCTTCCGTTTCGGCGTCTTTTTTGGAAGCTAGGGGTTGATCCTTCTCCCTTTTGAGGGGGGGAGGTGGGAGGGGGGGGGGGGGGGGGGGGGGGGGGGGGGGGTTGTGGGGGGGGGGGGGGGGGGGGGGGGGGGGGGGGGGGGGGGCGACGTTGGGAGTCTCTTTGCACAGGGCACCGAAGTAGCCAGCCCTGTCTGTCATCAAAAACTGCTCATAATGAAAGACAGAAAGCGGCACGTGTTCAAAATCGGTGTTTGTCCAGGCATAAAACTCCCAGCCTGAGACGATCCCGATCAATCGGTCAATTGATTTGACGAATTGATTGACGGCCATTGGATGCTTTTGGAGTGAAGACCAAGGCTGGGAAGATCAGAGAGACGATTCTTCTCCGACTTTAATCCATGAAATTCGGTGCCTGGCGTGGGAGAATGTCCCCCGGTTTAACGCGACTGTTGGCCTCATCGCGAGCAAACAGAAGCTCCAAGACGAGTCATCAGTCTGCCCCATCTCTTCCATTTTCGTTTTGCCCCTCTCTTGGGCATCGGCATCGGCAGCTTACAACCGTGACGATTGCCGATGGCGCAACACCGGTTGCCGATACACCGAACAGACCGAGCAAATATACGCGCTGTGGTATATTTGCTCAATGGTATAGCGTGTTAGCCCGCTTTCTCTGGACGCCTGACGGATGGACTTTTTAGGACTTCTTTCAAACATTTCCCGGACATTAGCAACATTTTCTGTAACATTTTCGTGACGTTGACGGTCGACCAGAACGTGGCAAGTCCAAAAGAGAACCAGTTCTCATTAATTTACTGTGGCAATTTCTGATGGTTTTGGGGTTGAGCGTTGCATTTCTACCATTTTCAGCTCTCCACCAACGCTGAACTTGAATAACCGATTTCCATACTTCGTACCTTGCAGCAATTATTGTTCGCTCTTCTACGCTAAGCACTGGAGGCATTTTTAGTTACCTGTAACAAAAACGGTAAAGAATAAGCTTTCGATCCCTGTGATAGTTACCGTTATAATGTGGTTCCTTCATTATGTATTACCAACTTAAAAATAGGTATTGACTTATCAGACACCCTGTATACTTAGTATAGCATAAAGTATTATTGTTATTAAATGCGTAACTGAGCGGGGAAGGTGTTATTAGACGGCATAACTTTCAAGGTTATCTCCGAAGGAAAATGTCTATCAGTGTCGCTGTTGAAGAAATCGTATTTATTCGGAATGAAATTAGATTAATGGTGTTTCTGTTTCTGGGATCGTGAAGCCGAATAAGTTCCATCGATGACAAGACTCTACATGCATTAAGTTTTAAAAAATCCCATGTGACTGATGATAGATTCTCAATAATAGTACATTACATGCGGTAGGCTACCAGTAACTAAAAGACATATGACACTTTGGATGCACAGTATCACCGGCATTTTCAGAGGCAGTTTTATGAGGCCTCTCTGGAAAAAAGGAGAGTGGAGGAAAGAGAAGAAGAAGGAAAAAACTTTTTTTCACTACATCGGGAAGATAATACTGCAGTATTATCTTCCCAATTTCTGACGGGTGTTTGGGAGCGTTAAATGGCGCAGAATTGGAGTTGAGTCTTTTGCTCGATCCAAGGGAGATAGGCGGAGACCCTGGTGTAGACCCCGGGGTAGATGCCACAGCCGGATCCGTAGGACGTCACGCCGACCACGTACGTCTTCCCTCCGTCCTCCAAGGCCATTGGCCCTCCGGAGTCACCCTGGCCGGGAGAATCCGTCGTCAGTACGATGGTGGGCGTGCAGTTGGGACAGCTCGATCGGTTTAAGATGTCGAGTTGAGGGACATCATGAGATGTGAAGTGGTCAATGTGGTTTACGTTAGGGAGATTCAAGTGGGATTACCTTGCATCAGCATTTTGGCGGCATAGTACTACCATTTTCATGATGGCCAGAAACGATATAACGATAACGGACAGACGCTCGGGCCTAAACTAACCTGGACACATTCGTATCCAGGCACTTTTTGGCCTCTCTGACCGAGAATCCTGCTGCTTCGGCCCGAGGCTCGAGGCCTTTTAGCCTATGCCTTTCTAGGTCATAGGCCAGGTGCAAGGACAAGGGTTGATGGGTTCTGGTGTGCTTGCAGGTGTGACTGGGTTACACATACAGCATTTTTCCAGTAGTGAAACGGGTAGGAAGATTTTCACTCAACATTGCGATTTAGAGTGGCACGACCAATCCTCTCACGGACGCTTCGGTCAATACTATTTCTGTGTCTTCACTTCAACGAAACGAGAACACGAATGGCTGTGGGCTGCATTTACAGGACGACGTATTTTCGCATGGAAAAATGTACGTAGCCTTAGAAAGAGTTTGAAAAGGGGACTTCCTTAGAGCCCTTGTACCAGAATATAAATATGAATTTGACAATAAAACTCCTATTAGTCTGTATAACGATAAAACTCTTTATAGTCTGTATAACGATAAAACTCTTTATAGTCTGTATAACGATAAAATTAACCATGGTCTATATAAAACTCTTTATAGTCTGTATAACGATGAAATTAACCATGGTCTATAAAGAATTATTAAACGTTAAACTGCTGAAGTAATTAGGTGGCGTGTCTACTACTATGATTTTTTTTGGAGAATTTTTTTTTAATGCAAGGAAGAGTTTGAAGACGCAGGTAGGAATTAAATTCAATATAAAAACTCTAAATGAGGCTCTGAATCTTCTATCTGGTGATTCTCATGCTGGAAGTCACATTACGTCACCATAAAAGTTTTCTGAAGCATCTTTATTTTTAAGTTGCGGGCGCCAAAGGCGCGAGAATTGCCAAATCCATTAACCACCGGGTGTGACCGCTTCATTAGTGATGCGCTTCGAAAACGAGTGCTTTTAGTGCATTAGTAAAATTCCTTGATCATAATGCGCAGAAGGCTCGTCCACAGGGAATTTGTTTGCCCGAAGGGCGAACAAACTCGCTTGCATGAAATACATATAATGATTTTATATAATTAAAATGCAAAAATAATTTAACTACATTCGCGACTTAAAAGCACTTGGGGCGGGATGGGGTGGCCATGATGATGAGGATATTCGTCTCACAAGCAGAAGTTGTCTTTTATCAGGTACCTGATAACTTGCCTATTTCCCTGCTTTTACGAGGAGTATTGGGAGGACTTTTTAAATTTAATACTAACGCGGCTGACTCCCTGCAACCGAAAGACAAGGGCCAAACAGGAAAAGTGCCATCGGGTAGCAGTAAAGAAGCTGAACGGAAGATGAACATCGAAACGCTCTCCTAGCTCTGAATTTTTGTTTCGCTTCGAAGGAAACATCATACCTGGCATGCATCCTTGCCGTTGACAAACGCACAGATGTCAATGGTGCTGAACCGATTCCCATAGACGTTAGGCTGAGAGCAGACGGTATTGTCAACGATGGGGATGTAGGTCTGCTGGAGGACCTTAGGCGAGGGACCCCCGAAAGACGTCGTCCCCCAACCAGACACCCTCCCCGACTTCCCAGTCAGATTCCCAAGGTTCCTCTTCGGCAGGCACGCAGCACGAATTCTGTCAACCGGAAATCATATTGGTTTAAATTTATTCCATGTTGCTTGTCCGCGCCAAATACATCTGGATGCGCAATGTGAGGTTCGTGGGCCGCTGAGGGCCCGAATCCGAAGATTTGGTGGCCCCAATCTTCCTAGCATCCCTATCGAGTTTGCTTTTACACAGTCTCGAAAGGATATCACTTTAGGTAAGCAGCTATCTTCATTTAATATCATGCAAACACATTTTTTCTCTGTCCTTGACATCTCACATGAAAATGAAATATTTCACCCGCTACAAGTATATTCTCAAGGTGCTTAAAATGCAACGAAGCTTTCCATTTGCCAAATCTGCAACTTGAGGTGCCAAAAATCATAGTGGACAACCAATCTACGTAATGTTTCTGCCCTGGCATTTCCCTTTGGAGCGCTTAAGCATGAATGTCTCAATCAAGAAATCGGCTTTTCGTGCATCTCAGCTTGGATTGATTGTTTGATTTTTGCGCTTTTTGTATACCGAAAACCTCATTCGCCATCAATTTCAGATGCCTTGCTAGGCTTTAAGGCAAGAGGCTTACCAGGTATTGCTTGGAAATTTGATTTTTTTTTTTAAAGACTAGGTTAGAAAGACGTGATTTTCTCATCCCAACGTTGGTCAACCTAACTAATCGACGCCAAAAAGGAAAGAACTTGACTTTTTTTTTAAGAGAAGGGCGAAGGGGAAGAGCCCTTGGGATCTGAAGGAAAAGCAAGATCATTATCAAGGGCATGATCGTGCTTAATCCTACACTGTAGACAGATCTTTATCGGAAATCCCACTTGAGTGATAAACGAGCTAGATGAAAAGGATAGAGTATGGCTGGAGGGTGACTATACACACAACGTAAGCTATCTCACGACCATCGCGATTCCACACTATTAGCTTTTGAAAGTTCACGTTCATGCTCCAAGAAAGCAACTAATAGCCAGGTGTACTTTGGAAGTGCATAGGACCGTGGTCAAGAGAGTAGTCAACCTCCAACCTGCATTCTGTACATTCGTAGAGAAATTGAGCTGCTAAGGTATTCGTGCCGGAAATATCTTTTCGAATCCTTGGTTCAAAAAGAAAAGAGTGGAGGAAAAGAAAGTTAAAAAAAAACTGGGAGAATTCATTGGGAAATGTTCGTGCTTCGTGTGCTGCTATACGGGTCTTTTGAGGTGAAGCAGAAAATATTGCATCAACTGTCCCTTGATGGAAGAAAAAAATTGGGAAAAGATGGAAGAGGAGAGGCCCGGCTTTACGTTACAAGATGAGTGGCTTAAGTTCATTTCCTCTCTGGCCAAGGCCAAGGACTAACCCTCGTCCATGAGTCTAAGGCTAGCATACCTGGCGGGGATCAGGGAGAAGAATCCTTTTTGTAGTTGTTTTCGATATTTACGTATTCACAGGTGTTCACATTCGCATTTGAGCACGTGGCAGAACCATTCTTAAAATTACACTTAACAGTAGTCACTCTTATTCTTGCCAGATGTAAAAAGCATCAGAAACTCGCGCAGTATTGGTAGAAGATATTTACATCTACAATTCTCATTTTTCATTTTAGAAACAGTACGCTCAGCTACCCCATTCGCAGGAATTTGGTCCATTCTCCCTTGCTGCACGGATCGCCACTGGTGGACCATCATTTTTTAAGTCTACACACACCAAGTTTATATTGAATTTACGTGTTCCAGTTTAAATTCATTTCAGTTGAATGGTCCCACAGAAACCCTTTAAAAATGTAAAACAAATTGAATCGTTCTGATGTCTTCCAGTAACTTTTTTTTCGCATCGGCATGCAGCCATTAGAATAGTGTGATTTTCCTTGAGTTATTGAAGTGCTTATACAAACTCTATGAAGTGATAGAACAACTTGTACTGCAAAAAAGAAGCTTACCCTTTCGTGTAGTCAATGGGTTGCGTCAGTTTGAGAAGAGCGATATCGTTCTTGATCGAAGTCGACGTGTATTGATAATTCTCATGGATAAACACCTTTTCTACGTCGTACACCTGCAAAATATTATTGCGGAAAATTTAATGAATAAACCTAGCTGCAACTTCATTCTTGTATGGTTTCTCCCGGAAACATACCTTTCTGGTAGAGCTCGCCTGCGTCACATCGTGTTCTCCGAGGGTGGCCTTGATCTTGAGGTTGGTGCCCGTGACGCAGTGGGCTGCGGTGAGGATCCAATGCCGTTCGATCACCGTCCCGCCGCACTCTTGCCGATAAGTTCCATCGTCGACGTTGATTAGGGCTTGATAGGGAAGGGAATTGGGCACGACGCTATTTCCGCCAACGATGCGGTTCGTTCCAGGGAGCATGCAATCGCAGCTTTCTATACAGGATGAGGAGATGAAACGCTATATAGGAGTGATATTCAAAAATGAAATACACGTATACAAGAATTAATACTAAAAATCTTCTTAGCAAAATTTCTTTAAACCGCTCAATATCCTGATATTTTTGCAATTACAAGATTTTTTAAACAGTTATAGTGCTTTAAGTTAGTCAGTGTACGTTTTAAATTTAGATCGGCCCGTTCAATGTGTTAGATGCAACGGTAATTTGCTGAGCATGTAACAAGTGTAAGTGAAAATATATGTAAGACGTCTTACCTATGGAAGTACCTTGACCGGACCCCGATGTCGATTTCACCTCGGTGTCGATCCGACACTGATATTTCTTGGAAGTCGAGGTGTAGAAATACCTCCAAACCTTCAAGGTGTTCCCGGACGTCTTGACGGAAACGGAGCTCTGTCCGGAACCGCAGGGTAAATAGTACCAGGTGCCATCGCCGAGATCGAAGAGGAAGAAGTCGTTTCCGGTGCAAGGAATGTTGTAGTCCTGACAGGTTAGTCGGAGGATGTAACCGGGGGATGTGACAAGCGTCATCGCCTGATTCACCGCGACATTATTTTGGAAGAATGTCGGATAATAGGGCGAGTTCAGAGTCCACGCGGTTCCGGGATTAATTTGGTATTGCTGACTCTGACTCTGCTTTGGAGTGATTGGGAGACCGAGAGGAACCTCTGGGATGATGAAGGGAAGACCTTCAGATCCGTTCACATTTTCCTTGGGAGTTATTGGAAGACCTTGGAATCCATTGGTATCATTCCTTTGGGTGGCTGGAATGCCCTCGGATCCGTTCACAATTTCTTTGGGAATTATTGGAAGACCTTGAGATCCATCTTCTGGGGTGATTGGCAACCCTGTCTTGATTGAAGGCAGAAGAGGAAAAACTTCGACTTCCGAATAAGCAGGGGATAGAACCTTCATAAGCAGGATTACATATAGCGGAAAATTCATATTGACCTTAACTACTCCCCGAAGAAACCCTTAATGGAAGACGTAATAGTCGTTCAGATGCACAGCTTCACAGCGACTAGTCCATGCACGAGGATCTCGATCCGAGAAGACACCTTCGAGGTACAGTTTTAATATAGTAGCTTTTAAGGACACAATTGCGTAGTTTCCCTGCAGACACAATTTTGCAGATCCGGATTGAGTCCATGTGGAATGGTGAACATCTGTTGCCTCGCCTTTATCCCTTTGTATTTGGCTGCGAACCCATCTGCGATAGCTTACGCAGATTTTGTCCTATTGCGTCGGAATCTGTGCGTCCAGGAACTCCACAGTAGAAGGGAATGGGACTTTTCAGCAGTGGTGTATTCAGGAATTTTATGCGATGGAGGGGGGATTGATGCCTCAGATTTGTGAAGGCCTATAATATTGTCAACTTTAATTACTCTCATCATTTCCTCAGACTTAAATCGCTGAATAAAATAAAGACTTACTTTTTTTTAAGGGGGTGGGGAACTAAGCAGCCATCTCCTCTCAGATCCGCAAGTGCTTTTCAGTAATCTTAAAAAAATGCCACTCTTCAAAGGAGAATACGAAATCTTCTGAGATAAACTGCCGAGCCGACTTTATAAAAAAAATCAGAAAACGGAAACCATTAGTATTAAAGAGTCAACATCTTATGGGAATAATGTTTCAAAAGGACTCGAAGGTGGGGAAACGTCTCTTCATCCGATATATAGTAGGTGTACAGTAGAATGAAGGAAATTCGAATCTTCTTCATCCTTCTGCCTTGGAAATTGCTGCCTAGTAATGGGATCCCTGAAAAGATCTTACCTCGAAACCGGTTCGTCTGGGCACTAATCAGAATCTTCTTCCTACAACGTTTCATTCCATTTGTATGAATTGAAATAACAAAGAATAAGCTCGAATCCTAATCTCCGTCCACTTAGGGAAATATTTATAGTTTTTCTAAGACAAATATGAACCAACGGAAGTCAAATGTGTCGCTGTGCTGGATGTCGGATTTTAGGGAAAAGCTTGTTCGGCATAAAGAAAGTCAAGTTCGACAGTTGTGAGACTTGGGGCCTTGTCGCTTCGTCGTGCTCCAAGAGATATGCCCTCTCCGCGCATTTCCCTAGCAAAAATATTCAAATGCAAATTCACAAGTGCATGTGAATGCGGTCTCATTACTCCATTTGCCATGCGGACAATGTTTGATTTCAATTCATGAGAGTGAAATCTATAGTTAGTATCCATTGGAATCCAAGATTCATGGAAAGAGATCAAATTTCTTATGCAGTTCGAATGTGAGACTCATGATATTCGGATTCTCATTGTTCCTCATTCCATCAGGATAACATGTCATCGGGAAACTTAAATGAGAAGTTCAAATTGCATCCTGGACTATGAAGAGAAGTATATTTGCCATGAAATCAACGGTTTGATTTTGAGAGTATCAGTTTACATCACAATATCTCTCAACTGTCACATTTGACTTCATGTCGAACAAGTTTTTCCCTAAAGTCTGGCATCCAGCATAGCGACACATTTTGACTTTCTTACGTCCATATTTGTCGTAAAAAAGCTGAACGAACTTCTTTTAGACAAAATGGCTTATGACTAGCTGGCTGCTCGCAACCAGTACATAATTGATGAAGTTGGATGAAGTTGAGATGTGAAGAAGAGATCTGAACAAGGTCTGGAATTTGGGGTATCCGATCAATTCCTCGCGGTCAGTTCCCCGTGGTCAATTCCCCGACGGTCAGTTCCACGAGTGACTATTTCCCCGATGTTACATATCAGCGATCTCACGGTCGCGTATGGAGGGCAATCGACAACACGGTCTCGTACAGGAATTAATTCCCTTCTTTCAGGATTTTCTAAAATCCAGATGCGAGTGAAGTCCTAGTCTGAATACTTTTGGACAAAAGACGCTATTTCTGTCTCAAGGTTAATAGCCGAAAATAAAATGCCACCCATACCTGACATTTTATGGAGACTGCAATCTCCATGTCACGGCATCAATTTATGGTCTACCCCTTTGCTTGCCTGTGAAGAGGTACAATGACAACATGACAACCCTACCCGATGAAAGTTTCATTATGATTTAATCGTGAAAGGAGACTGACCATCGAAATGCAATGTAACTGACATGACAATACTTCCAAAAACTCATGTTATACTCCTACTACGTTCTCCGTCCGTCCCTATTCATTTTGATATTAATGAGCACATGACCGTCTGGAACAAAAAGATTCTTTCCTTTCTCGCTTTTCACGAATTCAAACTTTCGCACCGTCCAAGGACTGAAAACTTAATGATTTGAATCCTGAGTCATCCTGCTTCTCCACATGAAGTCCTATTTTGCATCTTGGTAGTCATCTTGTCGATCGTCTCATCTCTGATGGTTGAGAGAATTATCTTGCAACCATTTCTGTTGCCGTTTTTCATCTTTAAATACCTTTCCCGTGAGAACCTCTATCAATGATCTGACTGGCATTGTATCGATTGTCATTGTATCGGTTGGCGAACCAAGTCTCCTGAGATGGAGAGCAAATAATTAAAATGATCTCCTCCCTCCAGGATTAGAGAAGATAAGCGACTTTCCCCTTCCGTCCGCCAGACCTACCACGCTTTGGTTCCGACTCGGTTGGGGGAATTCGCCATTCGGGGAACTGTGATTGTTGGGAAATATGACTTGGTCATACTTCTGAAAGCATTCCTAAATTTCCTGCCGGGTTGCATTTGTTCAAATATATATTACCCCTTGATATCTCGCTCTAATGCAAATGTGCGAAAAAATGAAGTTTTGAGGGCCATTTTGGATGTAATGGTGCCATGTACCCCCAAAAAAGCCTACGTGATAGTTTTGATTAAAACAAATAATTGCAGAGCATCACCATGATCACGATTAGAGTCCTGCATTTGCAGCAGCGAATATTGAGCTGAGGAACATATTTGTTTCGGGCAACTTTCGGAGCTCGTATTACATGGAAACAAAAAAAAAGTGCAAGAGCGTCACATACTTTGTTTCACCTGTCTAAGATGTGAAGGCAAGCAAAGAACATTTTGGCACTTGCACTTCAGGCGCCTGTAAGTTGGCCGTTCGTAAACTCAGTCTTGGTAGAGCGTTCGTAGCGTGAGGACGTAGTAGGAGTATAACATGAGTTTTTGGAAGTATTGTCATGTCAGTTACATTGCATTTCGATGGTCAGTCTCCTTTCACGATTAAATCATAATGAAACTTTCATCGGGTAGGGTTGTCATGTTGTCATTGTACCTCTTCACAGGCAAGCAAAGGGGTAGACCATAAATTGATGCCGTGACATGGAGATTGCAGTCTCCATAAAATGTCAGGTATGGGTGGCATTTTATTTTCG